GCACTGCTGGTGACGATTTGTCTCAAAATTATTTAAAGTGTAAAAAATATAACCAGAATCTACATAGTTTCGCTTATGTGTTACCAGCGCGGTGACAAATTTCCTACCGAATAGCGACCGCCTGGTAATAGTCTTTTTACAACATACTTACTTACAATTAATGTTTATTAGTAGTGAAAATCTTGCAATGATGGTCGTATTTGGCAATCTGCTACCGATGGCTTTGGGAATTCTGTTCGTAGTGATTGCGGATTACTTGTCCGATGTGGGCAAATATGTAGGTAATTGTTAAGGGGATGTTCATTTATTATGTGATAAAAAAGCTGATTTTTTTAACCATCCATCATACCTGGAATTTCTTACGAGAATTTTGAACTGCAGTTCTCGCAGCGGCGGGGCTAGAATATTTTCGGACATGGGCACCAGAAAAAAAAGGTATGAAAAATTACAGTATATAAATTATTTAATGCACCGATTTTTAATTTAAAATTCAAATTTAATTTTCCCAAGAACTGTTAGATATTTATTTATGTCAAAATTATTTTTATACCAATTATTCGTACGTCCCAATTATTAAGTTCTTCTAACAATGAGAGGGTGTTTAATGTTTATTTCCGATTTTAAATTTTTCCACGCTTAGAAATAGGCGAACCAATTTTTTGCACCTTCGTCAATGCAAGTAAATATTTTCTCCATTTGCTTTTTGAGTTTGTAAATACATTTTTTAGCAAAGTGAAAATTTTGCGCAAAGTGCACTAACAATGCGATGACGCCACCGGTCCCGCTCCGATTTTGAGGAAACCAAGATAATTATGTAGCATTAGATAAATAATTAAACACGTGTTTCAGGATTTTTTATAATGTTTACCTTATGACGGAATCCGTGAGCGAGAATTTCCAACCTTACCGTGACATTTTTTGCGAGAGAGAAAAGTACAGATTTCGCATACGGATTCCATCATACATACATTTCGTTTAAACTTAAAATTCGTGGGCATAAAATGGTTTTTTCCAATTTTAAATTGCTAGGAGAAATTTTGAAAAAAATTTGAAAATATAAAAAATGCAACAAACCAGAAATTTTGAATAGCTAAGTTTTTGAAAAGTAAGTAAAAGTAATTGTTAACGGAATGTTCATTCATTGCGTGATCAAAAAAACGCTGATTTTAAACCATCCATCCAAATTGTTCTAAATAATTCCCCTTTCGGGAACGTGCATATGTATATTACGTCATCATTTTATTGGGTGGGTGGTATAGGTCGTCCTATCTTTTCCATCGTAAAATTCCCTACCCCATAATGTTGGGTAGGTTGGTGCTAAAATCGAGAATTTTTGATGACGTAATATACGGATGACCTCTCATGCATAAGGTAAGCTAAGCACGGGTAAGATGAGGGACTCAAAGCTATTCACACACATTATTGATGCGTAATATGTGGACGTTCCCTAACCTTGACGAGTTTGCATTAACCGGTGCAGTAGTACGCAATATGGCGGAATTAATTATATGGGAATCGTTCTTCATATCCCACCTGGATTTCGAAAAAGGGAAAATTAATCCCATTTTGACAAATTCATCCAATTTTGACAAATTAATCCCATTTTGAGAAATTAATCCCATTTTGACAAATTCATCCAATTTTGACAAAATAATCCCATTTTGACAAATTAATCCCATTTTGACAAATTAATCCCATTTTGACAAATTAATCCCATTTTGACAAATTAATCTGATTCGACAGAAAATTTCGTAAAATTAAAACTTCCTATCGTATGTAGAACATGATGACGTAATGTTTCAATAAGGGATTAAATTAACGACCCCCTAGCATTATGGTTTTTGCCCCCTAAATTGTGGAAATGAACCCCCATTTATTTTTGCCCCCAAGTAATTCATTTTTTATCCCCTAAATATCGAACGATATTTAATATAATAATTTTATATTTCAATAAACCTGGTATTAAACATTTTTTTATTGTTTCTGTAGAAACTTTTCTGGACACTGCGCTGCCGAGTGAAATTTTAGCTTACAGTCTAGGGAAGCATATTGCTGGGATGAATTTAACTTCGCCGTCGATTGAAATTACGACATACGGTATGCACTTCAGAATTCTTCAGAATTCCAGATTTGTCATATTTGTCAAAGTGATCAACTAATTTAGCACAAATGCACAATTCCAATATGAAAACACATTTATGACAAATATGACACAAATTGAACATTTGCGATAAATAAGACGGCCAAATTTGAAATTTATGACAAATACAACGGACAAATTGATAAGTACGACAATATGAACTTTGTCACATTTGCCACAAATTCTAAATGTTTGATAAATAGAGCATTTCTGAAATGTCAATAGGTCAATTTATCAATGACATGGTATGCCGACACCTCCCTACAAGTGGACCACAATTCTTGTAACCATATTTTTCGTTTGTATGTCTTTGTTATATTTTGCACAGGAGAAGGCAAGGAGAAATCTGTGGCTGACTATTTTTGGTTCGGATTTACCAAACGTTACGACCTGTTTCAAAAAGTCGATTCGATGGGGCCATTCGCCATCAAAATTAGGATTTTTCCCAAAATAAACAAGGCGCAAATGCGGATTCGCGCTATGATAGACGGACATGCTCTAATCATTGAAGGTGAAAAAGATTAATATCCTCTCCCTGAAAATGGAGGTGTCCCAACACATGCTCAAAGATTTGGACCAAACTAGTGTCAATGGATCACAAATATAATTTGCAAATAAATCTGCAAATTAAGATCTACTATTTGAAATTTGCAAATGGAACTATCTGCCAATGCGCAGGTTTGGGGGAGATATTTGCATCCAAAGCGGGAAAAATGCGCAGCAAATTTAGAAAATGAAAAATTGGAGGTGCGTTTTCTTCTCTTTTTATGCAAATATCTCTGCTAAATCTATGCATAGGGAGATAGTTCTATTTGCAAATTTCATAGTAATCATATTTGTGATCGATTGACATTTGTTTGGTCTAAATCTGTTAGCATACGTCGGGAGACCTCCATTGTGAGTTTTCTATAAGATAATAATATTCTTTAGAATTCTGGTGGACTCGTTTGTAAACTGGGTCCTTAAGAGGATTAGAATTCAGAGTGCCTTTACTATCCAAAAAGGGTAACATAATTATTAAGAGTGTGCATATGTATTGAGAATTCTGGGAATTTTAAACTTGAAATTATGTCCTTTAACAGGGTCACGTGTCTACCAGCCTTGGTCACCTTTCACTACGCCGACCTATCGGGCACTAACTTCTGAAACATCAGCGTTTCTGGACCCCAAAAGAAATATCTATCTAGAGAAGAAATCTCAAAAGAAATATCGACGAAATACACAAATGTGTGTACAAATTACCCTGACATTCAAATTTTTTTTAAAAAAGACAACATTCCTTTGGTATTTTGTGGAAACCTGGATGGTGAAAAGTAGATTTTTTTCCATATTTTTCTCCTCAAATTTTGGAATTTTCCCTATACCGAGCAATGTCAAAAACTGGATTTTTCGTGTTTTTCATCAAAAAACTCAAACCTTGGAAACTGTTTAAAAATTTTCATTGGTTGCTATCAGGAAATCTACTACATACCGAAGAGAAATTTTATTGAAAATCAGTAGTACTAAAGAGGTTAAGTAAATGAAACTAAATCCAGTGTAAACTTTGCTCTTTGTGATGTTAATAAGAACACGAAAAATTAATATTCTAACACTGACTCGTATAGCGAAAATTCCAAAATTTATGGAGAAAAATATCAATAAAAACTTCACTTTTTTGCACAAATTTTTCCCACAAATTCTCATATTTTTGAGAAATTCTGGAGTACATTTGTGTACTTGGTCCTTAAGAGGATTAGAATTCAGAGTGTATGTAGAGACGTCAATATAGGGGGCTAAAATGTTACGCTACAATGGAAATGTTTTTTCAAAGGCAAAAGTCCCTAAATCTCCAGTATTTACAGAGCTGTGAGATTAGTTAATTTTTTGCTTACAATGGAGGCGCAAACCATGTTCAGCGTAGATTATTTTTTGACCATGTTAGTTTGGAAGAGCAGGTCTCTAGAAACAACATTTCGTTCACCACTTGCGCAGATGCGCAAAATTCAGCAAGTTATGGGCGCCACAAGTTCGCAAAAAGAGGTCGAGGATGAGCTCTCGCTGGACCTTGCATCAAAAATCATGTATTTTTGCGAACTTGTGGCGCCCAGAACGTGCTGAATTTTGCGCATCTGCGCAAGTGGTGAACCAAATGTTGTTTCTAGAGACTTGCTCTTCCAAACTGACATGGTCAAAAAATAATCTAGGCTGAACATGGTTTGCGCCTCCATTGTTAGATTAAAAATTGAGGATGGGTCGCTAAAATTCTGGTGTTAGAATTAAACATGGATTCATGGATTGGATTAGTTTCAGATTAGATTACTTGACAAAAATGATTCGGATTGGGGATTAGGGATTGGCCAATCTGGATTAGTTTCAAGATCCACAAAAAAAGTGGGTAAACGAAAATTGTTCAAAGCATTCTAAACCTTTAATAACAATACATTAAGTAGTTAACCGCACAAAGAAGTTCGTATATGTGTAAAAATTAGTCAAAAGTCAAATGCAGTGGATAATTTCAAGGAAATTGTGAAGCACACAGAATTCAAAATCAATCCAAAGTTTATGACCAATCCAGATTGGGTATTACTTTGGCAATATTTTCTTGGATCGGGGTAACCTAACCTAACCTAATCCAAAAATACAAATGTACATACACGAACTACATACAAATACATGATAAGAGGACGGGAAATAACCGGCCAGACATTGGAGTCGTTTGCCCTTCCTTTTTAGATAATTCGTGTGAAAGATAAAATTACATAAATATACGACTAAAATTGTAAATTAAACTTATAAACATCCAATCCTCTCAATATATTTTTTAAATATTTTATTTATTTTATGTATCAGGCTTTCAAATTTTGACCAAGTTATTAATTGTTTACATGGACGAACTACTAATTTCTTTATAAACCAACTTTGCAATGAATTTGTGGTCATACACGAAATCGGCAAGTCCGCTCTTAATCCTCCCTCCAAGCGTGTGATCCCAGTCCTCTGTCTATGGATAAGAATTAAAGGGCAAATATTATTTACAAGGGAGGTTTCCTAGCGTATGTTCCCGGATTTTGAGCAAATTAGTGGCAATCGATTCCAACTTTAATTAATGCATAACGTGGAAAAGGCACAATTTTCGAAAGCTCCCGTTTGACAGGGATATTCGAATCCGAGGAAGGGAAAAACCCGTCCACACTCTTAGAAATGGGGTTACGATTATGACCAAAAAGTAAACTTATGTGACTCTACCGCCGTGGTTATAAATTTGTCATCGAGTGGTTACAATTGTCACCGACTAATCATAAAGTTTCACCGACCTGGAATTAAATTGTCACCAGAGCTAATAAATTTATAACCAATTGGTGACAAATTTATAACCAGGGCAGTAGAGTCACATACGTTTACTTCTTCGTTATAATCGTAACCCCATTTCTAAGAGTGTATTTTAAATAAAAATGAGCAAAATTTACTCAAATTTGAGTGGAAAGGATGGATTTTGATACACAGTACAAAAAGTAAAATTTAATCCACCAGTTGGACAAATTTTTGCACACCGGTTGGATAAATTATTACTTTTGGTTGTGTAAACCACTTTTTTACACAACCTTGACTACATTTTGCTCACCTGTATTTATAGCATATTTTGTAATTTTTGGATGTAATTACATATGTACTTCCGCCGCTTTTTGAAAATTTCTTATTAATTAAATTAATGATCAATTGACACAAATTTGCTCAAAATATGCGAGCGTCCACTAGGAGCACGCCGTACTTATGAACTCAAGTAAGCAAGAAAATGGTGGAAGAAAAAATTAAGCAATACTAAATTTCCTACCTGCAGGCTAAATCCTGTCCCGTACCTCCACTTTGTCGCGTAATGCTCGCAATTCGCATTTTTCAAGTCGAACCTGACAAATCTTTGCATTTCCCGGATTTTCCACAAAGTTGGGTCCCGATTTTGGAATTCTTGCCGAATCACGTGCCAAATTTCGGCTTCAGGACGCATTTTGTAACCATTGGTGTTCGCCTCTTTTTGGTGATTGTTGACACGGATTTTAGTCTCCCTCTTTATAGCGTTGTTCACCCGCTGAATTCGTACAATTCCGGACATGTAGTTTGCGCAGAAGGTGACATGGACGACCCATCCTTCGCCGAGGTACATGAGCCAGTGATTTCCAGACCAACCACCGTCCGTCTCGAGGAGATCGAATTGTGCGAAATTCCAACAATGTTCGTCTAAAGTGGCCCAGTCGGTGGGTTTTGTGATCTCGTCGGTGGGGGAAGAGGTATTTTTTGAGCTGCTGGCACCCATGGTGGAATAATTAGTGGGCAACTAATTACTTAGAATTTGTAGGTCACTGTTTTAAAAAAATATTATGAAACGTCTAAATATGTATAAGAAATTTTATTTTGAATTATGATCAAAAATTGGAAAATAAATCACTTATGTAATTGAGCTGAGTGAATGCATTAAAAATACTGGATTACATTTAATTAACAAGTTATTGACACTTACATATTTACTGAATAAGAAGAACTTACCACTAATGTTAAGTTTGGACTTTGATGAAATGTTTAATAATTCTCTTCAACAAACTCCCAGATAACAATTCGCTCTGAATTCTCTTATGTTTCGATATTACATTCGCTTTGATATCGATATCAAATTCGCCTCGAATTTCCAACTTTCGAGATAAATTCGAGGAGATATCGAAGGGAAATGTCCGCCGATTCGACAGAGAATCGATGGAGAATCGTATATCGATTTCGCCGGTAAGTCTTCGCGATTTCGTCTTGAATTCGATGAATATGTAGGAGTTCATAACGATTTCTAAACGAATTCAATGCGACTTCTCCACGAATTTAATGCGACTTCTATACGAATTCACTGCGAATTAAGTAATAAATCGATACGATTTCTCCTATATTTCGAGTTAATCCAGCTTATAGTTTATTTTATTTATTCTAAATATCATGTAATATACATAACTGAACATAAACATAAAAAATACATAAAACATACATACATAAAAAATAAACATAAGTTGAATAATCAGATGACCCTGGTAGTGAAATTGGCCGCGATGTTAAGTCACTTCCTATTGAAAATATACTAATGTTATTTCTAAAATCTTTTCCAACAGTTATTATCGATTGTATATATTTGTACCTCATACGCTTCCCAACTCTATCTGCGACGTTCTTAAGAGATTTGTGTATTTCTTCGTCAACTGTGCCCTCGTCTGGAAAATTTGGAGTCCTAGGGTGAGCTGCTACCGCATCTGAGATTAACATATTTTTAAAATGTTTTAGAGTGTTGCATAATGAGATTGCATTATGAGGAATTTTAAATTCAAGGGACCAATTTTGGATACTATATGTAATATCGAAAGTATCAATTTCACCTTCGCTTTCTGAGCTAATTGTTTCAGTTGAACTTCCTTCACTCGTGTTACTTCCGACTTCAATTTCTTCCAGATCTTCTTCGAACACTTGTTCTAAATAAATGTTTTCCCCTTCGGCCTGGACTAGGTCACTATTTAAATTTTCCTCAAAAATTTCTCTTCGTCTTTTTACAAGTCTTCTTTTTTGGCGAGCACTCAACTGAAAAAGTCGTCTCCTTCCCATGAGGAAAGATTTGAATGTGGCAGCTAAAATTACTTAAAAATATAATAACAGCGTGAAAGAGAGAAATCACAGTGAATTCTCTAAGGATTATTTACGAATTCGAGATTTAAGGCGAACAGTATATAGTCTCCTATTCCTGTAAGAAGAATTCCTATCGAAATCGGGGAGAATTCCTAACTACAATAACAGCGAATTCGTTTAAGAATTCATAGTGAAGTCGTTTCGAATTCGATAGAAGAATTCTCTGAGAATTCGAGTCTAATTCGTTACGAATTCTGAAATGAGCGTAATATCGAATTTAGGTACGAATAATTACCGAATTCGATGCGAATTCGATACGAGAATAATAACGAAATCTGAGAGAATTCGAGTTCTCTGTTTTAACGCGACATTCTCTGCGAATTCTCTAAGCGAATTCATAGCGACCTGTTATCTGGGTTGTCGAGGGCAAGAAGAGTAAGAAACGACTGAATGGTAAATTAATCCAGCAAACTGAACCAAAGAAGTGAACTTTTCTTGTAGTAGAGGGTCAAGTATGCTCACTTTACAATTACATATGCATGTACATATTTCGTGTCCTTGTAAATAGTATAGGTAAACTGCTCCATTTTAACCCCAAGTCTTATATTTGTAAAATAATATGCATATACAATATCGTTATGTAGGGTTCATTGCTCGCATGAGTTTAAAAAAATTGAGAGGAAAAGATAGTAACATTTTCGATTCATTTTTTTCCAAATCTGGGGAAAGTTTTAAACAACTTGTGTTTTAAAAATGTGCATGCACGCATCCAAAATTCTGTAGAGTATTTACATATGTATTTATGTACATATTCCTAACTTTATCTGCTACTTATGTTCTGGGTAAAGTGGGTCTCAAAATGTATTTATATTTACATACATACATATTTATTTTTGTATGAAGGAACTTACAGAAACAGACACACACACACAATCTCTTCCTTATCCACATTTTGACAAAACGTTTGCTGGATAAATATTGGGTGCCAATTAAACGGTCCAACGAAAATACAGTTTTATCCAAACAAAATTAATGATATCGCCAATAATGCAATGTGCAACGGGTTTAATTTTTCTTTCCAACGAAAATGTAAAAGCATCCATCCAAATCATAGATGTTTTACATATCTTATTAGCCCACTCTGCCTATCATGTTATCGATATTATATGGATATATTATGGATATTCACCATTCATTACCATCACTAATTCGGTAGAATAATGCGGTAAAGTAAATATCTAATTTTGACATAATTTCGATATTTGTGAAGAATGCATGAAATGCTTTCTTCACTTTATTAAAAACTTGTAGTCATTTCTCCAACAATTTTCCGAAATGATTCGCATCATTTACGTCATGAATTGTTCGATACCAATGTTGAGACTAAGTTATTCAATAATGGACATGGGAATTTATAATTAGCATCAATTGATGCAAAAAATCTTTAACAGACGGACGGACAGACAGACAACTTACAAGCTTGTTTTTGAGGAAATTATTTCGTTGGAAATTTTAATGAAAATTGTTGTAAAATAAGTCAATTGGTTGCTCATTTCATGATTGGCGAATTTATTAATTTTGGTTGGAATAAACCATATTTTCGTTGGATGGTATAAAATAAATCCGATAAATATTTATGTATAACTCTCAGTAGCAGCAGAACAGATCATTTTACTTTAAGTAAAATTGTCTGTATTACATAAGTACGTAGGTGTTTTATTATTAATTTTCAAAAGGTATGTTCCGCACTGTTTCTCACCAAAATTTTGATGAAAGAACAAACTTCAAATACATTTAGGAGGCTGTGATTTTTTTCAGCTCTGCGGGTTAGCATAAACACTAGCAATAAATCGGCAAACTTTACCTCGACGGAAAAAATGCTAGATTTGCAAATTAAATATCGTAGTATGATTTAATTTTTAATGCTGGATGGGCAATACGTGTCGCAGATTTATGATTGAATGCTTAAAATTTACGATGAAAACTGCCCAACACAAAACACAAATTCAATTGGGTTAATAATTTTAAATGATGGCGAAACGAGGTCTCGGGCAAAAAGTCGCCAGGACGCTCAAAATCCGTTTCTTCCACAGAAAGGCTCCGGAAACTAGAAGAACCAATAATGAGAGATCCGCGATTGAAACTGTCCTATCTAGCAGATGAGATGGGTGTTCCAAAACCAGCAATTTGTTCCATGTTAACTGAAGACTTAGGTCTGAAAATCGATTCCGTCCGTTGGGTACGAAAATTGCTTTCGGCATCTCAAAAACATGATCGAGTCGACTTTTGCAATGCCAATTTTAACCTATTAAATGAAGACTTGAACCTGCTCAATATTTTATTAGCTAAATATGGTACCTGAGTTTACTATTATGACCCGGTGACCAAATAATAATTCCCTCAATGGAAGCAGGAGGGGTTGCCACCGCCCGAGAATTGAAAAGTGCAAAAATCTGACAAAAAATTGATGATGACCATTTTCAAGGATATCAAAGGTCCCCTCCTTATAAAATTTATTGCTGGAAATACGACAATAAATGGGGCCGCGTATGCAGGTACCCAGAAGGAGCTGCGTCCTCCGGTTGAAAAGAAACGTGGGGTCAAAATATAGAGTTGGCCTTTTTTTAGACGACAACGCTCCTCCTCATACCTGGCTTTTTGCGAGGGATAGTGCAGACGAAAATCGCTTTACCTGCACAAACCACACCCCGTGCAGTTCAGACTTGACCCTTAGTGATTATTATTCGTTTCGAAACTTAAAGAAAGACATCAGGGGAAAACGGTTTTCGGATGATAGTGATATGAAGTCGTAAATTTTGGCATATTTTCGAGGTAAATTTTAATGGGTTATTGCTAGTGTTAATGTTAACCTACAGAACTGAAAAAAATCACAGCCTCCTAAATGTATTTGAAGTTTGTTCTTTCATCAAAATTTTGGCGAGAAACAGTGCGGAACATACCTTTTGAAAATTAATAATAAAACACCCACGTATGTAAGTACGTACGAAATAATTTAATAATTGGTTTCATACGTATTTACATAATAAATACAGCATACAGCCATGGAACGTATTGGTATTAAAATTGTACGTTTATGTATTTAAATATGCTGACTTATACAATTTGGATATGCAAATTAATGCTACTCGAGAAAGCCAAAAACTGGATGAAAAAAATTTATGCAGATTAAAATGAATACATTCATTTGTGTTTGCATCTTATTTTTTTGCCCTGGTACTAGTTCACAGGTGACGTTTGGATTAAACATATTTTTGAATGTACTTAAAACTTTAATGAAATTTATATAATGGGGATGAGTACGCATATTTTTGCAATTTAGCAATATTCAAGTTCCAAAATAGTTTTATTTGAATATGTATGAATTTATTCAAGATAAGGACGAACTTCGAAATAAATGAACAGAACCCTAAACTATTTATTATGTACTAGATACTAGTAGATACATAATGCACAACATACATATAAAAGCTAACCCTTTAAGGAGTAAGCATGCTTAACTGCTCGGGGATGTTAAAATTGTGTTGTGGTCATCGTATGGGAGGAGGAATTCAGTAAGTTAAATAAAACTTGAAAAAAATAAACGATATGTACAGACTTTAAGATAGCGTTGTATTTCGAAATATGAAAATTTTGGGGGAGAAAAATTTCAAATTTAGCATATAGGAGAAATCACTTCAAACGAGGACACATTTTTTACGACGCGGAGAGAAAACGGTGACCTTCCACAAATGAGAATTGTCTTCCTGACCACAAATTTTCCAAAAAAACAACTTTTGGCTTTCTCGCGAATTAAATAAACCAGTTCTTACAAAATGACTACATACTTTCTTCTTTGCGAATCAATGAAAGGGTTAATGAGAAATTGATTCGTGAATATGAAATATGTTACAAGCAGATAGAGAAAGTATTTAGTTTGAGAATATGTACGGAGAAAGCTGACGACTTTGCGATGCGATGCATTTATAAAGTGAAATTTGGGTTGCGTGAAACAGCAGCCGTTTTGCGAGTCTCACTGCCTTGCAGAGAAACGTGGTCAGTGGCCACCTTACGATGACTGAACCGCAGCAACTTTTTGACTCGAGGAATAAGAAGTTTTCCTAAGTACTGAATGAAAATATTGATCTCGTGGTTAAGATAATTTTTGTTTGGATAATATATTTTATTTGGCCTGAATAATTACACTGTTAGAAAACTGGTATTAATTCATTACTGACCGGAGTATGTATAGTACGGTGAATATGTACATAAATGGGACTATGCTAGATTCTTAACATATTTACATATTTACACAATTATGAAATTTATATAATATGTGTATTCTTCGTAACCTTTTATCCTGTTGTTAAGATGAAAATGTAAAGATACAAATTGTGGGTTTCGAGATTCATGCAAATATTTAAATGCTTGTACATAATTTAATAATAAATTTACTTACAAAGATTTTTAATAAATATGCATGAATTTAACTACTTAATTTTTTTGCTTAAAGTATCACAAATCAAAATAATATTACTGAAATCCTTAAACATAAATTTAAACTGAAATGCTAACATGAAAACAGTGCGGATAGAGTTTTAGAAAATGTATTGAAAACAAATATTTTATTGCATAAGTTTCTCCGTATTAAAATGTCACACCTGTGCAGAAAAACCATGTATTTGACTGCCTCCAGAATTTTAGTACATCTCCTCCATGTTCCTGGCTTTTGTATGTAACCCTTGGTAATTTTGCAACAAATTTTTACTCTCATGTTGAATGTGCATACCTGCCAGAATTGTAAATCAAGAATTAAAGATGAATACTTTCTGAGAGAGTAATCCCACATAATCGATAAATCAATACCTACCTGACTATATCATATTTCTTAGAGTGAAGAAATATATAATCATCCAAACCACAGAATTACTCCTGCTTTTGTACATAAATTATACATGAATGTGAAAAATAATTTGACCCATGTTTTATTTAGAATTTACCAGTTCCGAAGAAATTATCCCACACAAATCGTTTTGAGTGCAGGAAGAACTAAATTAAATCTATTACAGTAATTTCATACACGCTTTTCTTTCTTTATTACTTCAACTATCTGACAACGTAGCATAAAAACTTCAATAGCCACCGTTGATCGATTAATTGCCGTGGTATGTAAAATTGTTGTCGTTTTCATTTTCATAATTTTACAAGTCTTAACGATACTAAAATTGTATGCCCGCAGAAACAATAAACAGCCGGATGTTAGCCAACGAGGTTGTAGTATGTAGTAGCCTCCGACTATTACTCGATTTTTACGGTACCAAAGTGAACACGTGATATAAACTTGCCATCGTTTCAAAACGTCGGAGTTTAACCTTGGTCCGCCCACGACATTGATATGTAGCTGATTGGATAAATGAAGGTCTCAAATATCATTCTTGATAGCACCATTAGCGATAAATAGAGTAATATTAATCATTCCTTTGGCAAAAATTTACCAACCAATTAAGCAAAAATGTTTATCAGCAGAAAACCTCAACATATTTGTGTTTGGACAATTATTCTTGCCCATGCAGTATATCCACTTGGAATTGGAAGATTAGGTTCTGATGAAGAAAATAAACTCAAGGATATGAACATTGCTAATTATTTTGAACCATTTCAAAACTGTACCATCATAGTCAAAATACCAGCAAAGACTACTTCTGCCATTCAAAGGGAAGACCTGCCCCCCATTGTCCTCGAGCTGTATGGTTTGAATCGTAGACTAATTACTGAAGCCAAATTTTCTTTACAACGAAGAAGAAACCCTTCGCCACATTGCTGGGCATCGTTCTCCATTTTTCCTGAGCGCAATGAAAAAATAAAGTTCGATGAGCCCAATTTTTACAAGGCCCTGGGATTAGGCCCTGACTTCATAGATCCCTTCTGGACCCGTCAATATTTTATTTTTGTCACAAAAATGAAGTTGAGGATTGAACATTATCTTAAAAATATGAAGTACATTAATTCTCAAGTGTTTGGTTTACGGGAAATCTTAATCCTTGCTTCAAAACCTCCAGAATCCTATCTTTCAATTTGTTATTACAATAGTTACTACATTGATAAACCAATTCGTGGAATGGAATCATCTCAACAATGGTACCACATATAATGTTTGCCCAACAAATGCTTACCCCAAATTGAAATAGTTTCAAGAAATGTTTCAACACTAAACAAATACTTTTGGTATGCCATGCGAACCGTTGATAAAAAGATGCCACATTCATCAACTATTTAAAATGGTGGAACAAGTCGTCCCAAGCGTGCGTTATCGTTACATCGCAAATTTAACAAGTTTTAACGGTTTCGTTGCTTTTTGGTTATTAGAGGACATGATGAAACACGACTATTTAAAGTTTGACCCACGTCACAGCATCCCTCCAATTATGAAGAGGCCCACGTATAAGTTTCTTGGGCTAATTTTTGTTGCGCATGACATACAAAAGTTCAGTTATTTGTCGTGTTATCAAGTCAAATGGACAAACTCTGTCATTTTATCGGAACTAATGGCCCCATACGATATTGGAGTTTGGCTGTGCATCCTTGCAAGCCTAATCGCAGTGATCGTACTTTTGATTGCTTCACTGGACAACTTCATATCCAGGGGTATACTCTTAACTGTTGGAATATGTCTAGAAAATTCTGTATTGGGATACTTGTCTACCTATAAATCCATCAAATATCGCGTGGGTGTATGTACTCTCATCACAACTTTGGCCTTGCTCGGGGGCACTCTGCTTTCAAACTTCTACAAAACTTACTTCACCCTGGAAATGATTGTTCCAAAGATGTACCAATCCCCATGGAATAGTGTGATGAATGTCGAAGAAATTAAAATTCTAATGCCATTTGACCTCCTGGATGAACAAGACCTTCAATCTGCCAACTTAAGCGAGTATAACCGATATATGTATTTTTATCAAGACATTCTTCTCCAATCAAGCAAAGTCGCGCAGTTGGGACGTGAGTATCCGCGACTGAATGGATATATTAAGACAGCGAATCGTCTGATTAAAAGTCTTCTACCATACTTTGGGGTAGGCACTGATGGCAAGAATTATTTTAATGGAACATTTGGATTTCACCCGAATCGAGAAACGCAATATAATACCAGTATACTCAGGGAATTCCCGATACAGCCAATATCATACAAGGATCATGTTGCATTAATAAAAAATTTGTCGACTTGCGGGAAAATTGCGCTAGTTGATACAGAAGATCATATTACAGGCTTGACACCTTTTCTCAACGATAATTCTGACCATCTAATATATCTGAGTGGTCATGAAGATGTGTTCTTTACTGCAATGAATGGCTGGTCGATTCATCCAGTTCGGGAGAGTTATGGTGCCAAACGGGTTAAAGTACTGATGTCGTCCGGGATTTTTAAATATTTGAAGACTCTATATAGCCTACTGAACCCTGACAGGTTGTTTCACCATTATGCCAGTTGGACCCAACCTAAACTAGATTCTGTAACAAGGTTAGACTTAAATTCTAAGGTTGCGGCGGGACTGCATGTTTGTGGAATTTGTTTGGTGGTCTGTATCCTTATTTTTCTTGTGGAAGTAGGATGGTTTAGAGGATATAGGTTGATGGAGAAGTATTTGGCCACACCTAAATGATTTCATAAGCACAAAAAGTCATATAAATCTAGGGCGAAAATATTTTAACTACATTAACCTCAAACGCCCTCAAATCTCACATGTAAATATAATTATTATTTAACACCGGTTTATTTTATTTTTGCGTTCAAATTATTCAATTCGTGCCAAGAATTTGGGGAATTGAATGAGTTCTACGTCAAAATGAAATAAGCTGTATTAGATAAATAATAGGATAATTCGGCTTCTCCCCTAATATATTTTTTGAACGTCGTGCCTGGACGCCTTTTTTCATATAATCTGGAGCTGCGGATTTTTTCATATAATCGACGTGCTCGCCCCGAAGCTATTTTGGGTGGATGGAAAGTTTAAACCGAGGAGTACTCACGGAACATCTTATTGCGGATCGCAAATCATATAGCCAACTTGTTAAGAGCAAAAAAATTGTGTGGTGCGGAGGTTCGCAAAAATTTTGACTACGCAAATCTACTAAAAACACCGATCTATTTTCCCACGATGGTCAATATACATATGTATTTTAAATACCATTGTGTTTTGAACACAAAAACGTACTTTGTGTTTACACACAAATTAATCAAGGTATTTTGAGTATATTTGTGACTCTACCGGGTGCTTTACAGTGTAATGTGCTAATTATTAATATGTTGCATATTATTTGTAAATTATTTATACGAAAATATTCCGCCGACAAATTTTGACAGTGAAAAACAATTTATTCGCACGCTTTAATATTCCTATTTACGATCAACGTTTCGACGACGAGAGGTTCATTGTAGGTCACGGTTTTACATGGACGAACTGGTCAATTCGCGATACACTAATTTTGCTATGAATTTGTTGTCGTATACCAAATCCGCAATTCCACTCTTAATCTTCCCTCCAAGCATGTTACCCCAATCCTCCGTCTGTAAGGGAGAAATGTCAAATCTTATTTATTTAAATCTAATTGAGGTTTCCGAACCTATGCTCTCCAATTTTGAGCAAATCGGTGTTACTCGATCACAAAGAGAATTAATTTATGAATAATTTGTAATTTATGAATGTGAATTAATTAATGGAATTTGTAAAGAATGGTATACCCAGATGGGCAGGGTTCACAGGGATATTTGTATCCGAAGAGGAGAGAACGGGCCCTTCAAGTTGAAAGTTTTTTTTCTTTTCGGATTCAAATATCTCCGTGAAACCTGCGCATTTGGAGGTTGCAAATGTTGAAAATTTCATATTAATTTGCAATTGATTAAAACTGGTCTGCTCAAAATCAAACAGCGTCCGATGGAAGGTCTCCCTTGTTTGGGCCAAGGAAATAATTTGTGGAGGCATGAATTAGACAATATCACTTGCCTGTAGACTGAATCCCGTCCCGTACCTCCAATTTGTCACGTAATGCTCGCAATTCGAATTTTTCAAGTCAAACCTGACAAATCTTTGCATTTCACGGAGTTTCCACGTAGTTGGGTCCCGATGTCGGAATTCTTGTCGAAGCACGTGCCAGATTTCCGCTTCAGGACGCATTTTGTAACCATTGGTGTTCGCCTCTTTTTGGTGATTGTTGACACGGATTTTAGTCTCCCTCTTTATAGCGTTGTTCACCCGCTGAATTCGTACAATTCCGGACATGTAGTTTGCGCAGAAGGTGACATGGACGACCCATCCTTCGCCGAGGTACATGAGCCAGTGATTTCCAGACCAACCACCGTCCGTCTCGAGGAGATCGAATTGTGCGAAATTCCAACAATGTTCGTCTAAAGTTGCCCAGTCGGTGGGTTTTGTTATCTCGTCGGGTGTCGAAGAGTTGTCATCTTTTGAGCTGCTGGCACCCATGGTTTGATAATTAGTGAGCAAATAATTAGTATTTATTTGTCGGTTTGCTTCGCAGGTTTGAAGGACACTGTTAAAAAAATGTAAATGTGTTGTTACGAAATAACGCATGGATTTTGAAATTTTTATTCTGCAATATGCTAAGAATCTAGGAAATAAAACACGTCATTTAGCTTGGATCTAGGTGGATGTAAATATGTACATACGTACTTATTAGAAAGACTGGATTCCGTTTAATTAATAAATTATTGACACGTATGTATTTATGTATGAATTTATAAAAAAAGAACTTACCTCTAATATTAATTTGGATTTGGATGAAATGTTTGTTAATTTTCTTAAGCGAACTTATGGACTGCATGAAGAGTAAGAAACGACTGAATGGTAAAAATGTATCCACTAAACTGAACCAAACAAGTGAACTTTTCTTGTAGATGGTCAAATAAATATGTCCCTTTACAATTACATATGCATGTATTTCGTGTCCTTGTAAATATCCCTTTTCAGAAAAGGGACCATTCTAAGCAAAGGGTTCCCTAGTACCTGAATATTTCCATTTAAGCATTAGTAAACTGCTTCATTTTAACCTCAAGTTTTATACTTGTAAAATAATATGTTACAAAATCGTCATGTATGTAGTGTTCATTACTCGCTTTAGTTTAAAAGAATTCTGAGGAAACGATAGTAATATTTTTTATTCAAAATTGTATCCACTTCTGGTGAAAGGGTTAAAAAACTAGTGTTTTCAAAATGAGTATGCACGCATCCAAAATTCTGGTGTATTTACATATGTATGTAAGTACAGATATTCCTACTTTTTGTTCTACTTACATATATTCTGAGTAAAGTGGGTCCCAAGATGTACACTTATGTACATACATATTTATTTTTGAATGAACGGACTTATAGTGACAGATAGAAACATGCAATCTCCTCCACATCCATATTTGGACAGAACGTTTTCTGGATAAATAAAAACGTATTTATAACTCGCAGTAGCAGCATCAGAGACAATTTTACTTCAAGTAAAATTGTATATAAATACGTACAAAATCAATTATTAATTGATTTCGTATGGAACGTATTCGTCATGGAACGTATTCGTCATGGAACGTATTCTAATTAAAATGATACGTTTATGCTGAGTTATTTAATTTACATATGCAAATGAATGCATATTTACACTTTTTCTGGTTTTTGGCTTTTTTGAGTCAGAAAGCCAAAAACCAGAAAAAATGTAAATATGTATATTATGAATAAAATGAATACATTGACTTGTGTTTGCATCTTATTATTGCGAAACTACAATTTTCATCTTCCTAGATACACCGTGACCACAATTTTTCCAGACAACTTTTAGCTCCCTCCCGAGTTACACCATTTCCTACAAAATGACTATTTTCTTCTATGTACACAGTCCGACCATAAGTTCCCGTGAATGCATTTCCGGTGATAAATCGTAAAGTACTAAAGCTATCTGATAGAAATTTTTGTGGATGAACAAGGTATTAATCTAGTTTATAAATCATAACTTCTTTTTCACAATTTCCTCCTCGGGCTTGTACAAAAGACATAAGTCGTGACGGAAACTGCTCGATCGCGGCACGCATGGATTTAGAGGGAAAAGCGCCCAGATCTTCAGTAAGTGTGACCTCAGGCCTTCCACACTTGGGTGAGATTTAGAGCATACTTGCATCTATAATTTTGACCACCAGTCATAATTTAGGGGATTAAGGTCTGCAGATGCTGAGCACCGCTCTCCGGATAAAAAAAGTAATGAAAATTCGTGTGAAGACATTTTTGGACAATTTTTGACCTTGCGCAGGAGCTGAGTTTTGTTGAAAGGTCCAATGTTGATTTTCGGAGGGTCCAGGGTGCAGATTATTAACGTTTGGCTCTAGGACACTCTGAAAATAATTATTGGCTTCAACTTTTACCCTTTGCGGTAAAAAACAGAGATTTCCTTTCTCCAGGCAACTTGCTCCCATTCACACCACGGTGACGACTTCGTATTGACTTCCGAATACTTAAACGGATGTCAGACTTCCGTAGAACAAATATCTGGCCATTTCTTCTATTAAATTTTTCGCCAACGGTGAAAAGTGTGAAATACTTTTGGCACGAAAATTGGCGCGTACCACGATCGAGCAGTGGCCGTCACGAGTTATGTCTTGTCTTAAAGCCCGTGGACGAAATCTTGAAAAAGAAGTCATGATTTTAAACAATATTAATACCTTGTTAATCCATAAAAATTTCAAACAGATAGCTCAAATACTTTGGGATGTATCACCGGAAATGCATTCACGGGAACTTATGACCCCACTATGTACATAAGTAAATCAAATGGTTAATGAGAAATTGACACGCAAATGCAAAATTGGTGGCTAGAAAATGAAAAAATTTAGCCTGAGCATGCATATTTATGTACGGAAAAAGCTGGTGACTTGGCGATGCGATGCATTTATAAAGTGGGATTTAACCAAGGCCTGACAGGCCTACGTAAATGGATTGGGTGATCCAAAATAGCATGCATTAGAGCCACCAAACACTGGCAATGTGGCAACATTAAAAAAATACATTGTGGAGCTTACACATACCGTCGTTTGGTGGCTCTGACGGTACTGCTGGCTGGTGTGAACCAACTTACTCCAGTCTCACCCATAGTGAACGACTGGTGCTGCTGGAGAGTGCAGAGTAGTGATCGCAGGTGGCGATAGTGGGAATGTTTACATTTTATAAAAAATGTAAACATCACGTGACTTGCATTTCCACCGAACAAAGACCAATCCTACTCCCTCTACTTATATTATATAACTATGGATTTAACTTGATTGGAACACAAGCCTTTTGCGAGTCTGGCTGCCTTGCAGAGAAACGTGGTCAGTGGCAACCTCACGATGACTGAACCGATGCAACTTTTTGACTCGAGGAAAAAGTTTTTCTTAAGAACTGTGTAAAAATGCGTGTGCTTATTGTTAAGAAAATTTTCATTTGGATAATACATATTTATGCACATACTTATTTGCCTTGAATAATTCCATATACAATTATGTATATATTTTGCTTACCTTTTAATTCTATTGTTAAGATGAAACTGTGTTTATATAAATATGCAAATTGTGGATTTCGAGGGGTATGAAAATTTTTTAAATGCTTAATTTAGTAACAAAGATTATTAATGAATGAATTTGGTTAATTAAACTTTTAATTAAAATGCCACAAAAGTTTAAAGATGCCGACGTGAAAACAGTCTGGATGGAGTTTTCTAAAATATTTGGAAAAACAAATTTCAATTCATTTTTGAAAACCCTTACGGTTCTCCAGATTAAAATGTCACGCCCACGCAGACAAGCAGACATGTATTTGACTGGCTCCAGACTGTTAGATAATACAATATTCTCCTCCATGTTCCTGGCTTGTGTAACCCTTTGTAATTTTACAACAAATTTTCACTCACTTTTTGAAAATACGTGCCAAAATTGCAAATCAAGAATTGCACCACGACCGTACTGAATACTGATACCCAGACCTTAAAAATTTTTGAGTGCAATCGTACAAAAATGGATACAAATAAAATGTACTGATACAAATGTAAGTACCTTCAATAATCATTTTAATACCAAACGGCAGAAAACTATAGAATTCATCAATCAATACCTGCCTGACTACATATACATTTACCATGTTTCAAAGAGTGAATAAATATATAATCATCCAAATCACGTAGAATTACCCGTGCATATACACATGCATATACATGCATACGTACGAACAATAATTTGACAAAGGTTTTTTTTTCAGAGTTTCCAAGTTCTTTTAATCATAAAAAATTATTCCATGCCAAATCATTTTGAATGCAGGAAGACCTAAATTAAATCTATTACAGTAATTGCATACTTTTCTTTTTCTGCATTATTTCCAACTATCCGCGGAAATGATTACTGGCCGAAAACTTTGTAACTTTATTCCACTACCCCTTAAAGATATCGAATTAGTCCAAAGGTTGCTGACAATTAAATGATTAACCATTTTATGAATAGATATCTACATACATACATCCTCCAACATATAATCATCGAACAGCAAAACGAAACTGTTTAATGCTGCCACTCTTGCGAGATATTTCTAGTAAAGAACAATGGCAAAATCGACATTAACTCACACTGACGAACACAAACTCACACATGGAGAAAGTTAACTCAAATTAACTCACACTCTGAGCGCAAATGAAATTCAATACTATTTATAATTGAAGTATGGTAGAGCTTATACGCCTTAATATTTGCCGAGATGTAGTGAAATTCATTAAAACTCAAACAATTATCTTAATAAACAAGTACCATACATTATCAACAATTAACTAAATATTATATTGTATAAGCTACCTTCTAGGGTCTTAGAATGGCCTCACTTCATTTGTTATGTCCTTTTGTACACATTTTTATCCAACTTGCCATAATTTGTGGAATTAATGGTGAACAAAGGGATACCATTAACCAAGCTCCTATAGGCTCAATTCAAGCTCAAGTTTATCATCTTAACTATCTCTACCCATTTCAAAACTGCACTACGATGATTTTCATAAACAAGAATTTGGTTTGGGACACTATCATGAGACCTTCATCCGGACCAATTATTTTGCTAAGTTACGACACAAAAATATCTTTGGCCCCTGGAGTAGTAATTGTACGTAAATTTTCTAAACAAATGCGGCGAAATTCCGTGCCACACTGTTGGGCAACTTTTACCATTCTTCCCGAAAACGAATACTTGACTTTGAATAGACATCACCCAGATTTCATTAGTCACCAACCATTCATGGAGGCAAATGTATGGTCACAGTATTTCATTTTGGTCACAGCTGTACCGGATGTTATTCAAACGTACGTAAAATCTGAGCAAGTTTCATCTCGTCTCAGGCAAAGAGAAGTTATTATAGTGGATATAACTCACGTGATTAATAATGGTCCAAAGTTAAAGATGCATTATTATAATATTTACTATATTAAGAACCCAACAGTTGGGATGGGAAGCTCTGAACAATGGTATCAAATTGATTGCTTACCATCGGATTGTTTTAAACATTTAATTGCAACAGAGAAAAATGTGTCCAATCTAAACAAGTACTTTTGGGCGTCGTACGCAAGTTTTGGAAGCGCGCATAAAGTTAACGTTCGCAAGCTTTTTGGTCACACAGATATCGGACCAATTCAACATTCTACTTTAGAGTATCGTCGGCTAGCTAATTTAACTACGTTTCATGGTTTTCTGTCCTTTTGGGTCTTACAGGACATGATAGAGCATAACTTCTCAAATTGCATGCCACTTCATTTTATCACACCAATTCAAGGATATGGCCTATCGGCCTATGGGAGATTTAATTTTATAATCTATGATGTGCATCAGCATAGCTATGTTTCGTGTTACCAAGTAAGTTCGAACTCAGATATCCTTAACGCGCTAACTAGTCCATTAGATGGACTTAGTTGGACACTACTGTCGACATGTTTCGTCACGGTCGTCCTAATTTTAACCGGAGTCTTTTGTGCTTCAACTAGTACAGTTTCCTCTGATAGAATATTTCTTGTAGTCGGGTTAACATTGGAAAGCTCTGTACTTCTTTCTCGTAGTATTTACGAGGCCAGATTTCTAAGAAGTAGACACGAGTTAATAGGACTTTATAGCATTATTTCAGTTTGGATTCTCCTGGTAGGAACGATTTTGACGAATTGGTATAAAAGTTGGTTTACCATGGAAATGATTGTCCCAAGAACTTACAAGTCACCATGGACGAATGTAATGGATGTCGAGGGGTTTCGAATTCTTATGCCATTCAGCCTTGTAGATGAATATGATTCTCTAAAGGTACCCACCTTAGAGCATTTTCTCTACCAAGACTTCTATAGTAAACTACACTATCGATTTCTACGCAAATCGCTGGAAAGTGTGAACTATAAGCGACTAGTAGCTCATCAGAATATTGCCAAAAGGTTATTTAGCATGCTCCAACCTTATTTCGGTTTGGACGAGAATATGAGGCCCGGAATATTTGCATATCGTGTAGGTACACCGCCAGTGTACAATAAAAGTGCGTTACAGGATTATCCCATCCAACCAATAGAATACAACACTGGGGACACTTTCGAAATAGCAAGAAAATTGGCGAGCTGTGGAAAAGTGGCATTGATGGATTCAAAGGAAAATATTGCGACAATCACAAATTTCCTCAATGATAATCAAAAACGGAGAAGATATGTTAATGGTGATGATGATTTCTTTACTGAAATTAGAGGTTGGACGTTTTTTCCGGTTCGGAATAGTTACGCAGAAGAGCGTCTTAAAATTATGATATCATCAGGAATTTTCGCACATTGGGAATCTCTATATAAACTGTGGAAACCGAAAAAGTTATTAAATCACTATGCAAATTGGTCACATCCAAAAGTCGAGGCAGCTTCAAGATTAGATTTTGATTCCAAAATCATAACGGGTTTTTATGTTTGTGGATTTTGTTTGCTAATCTGTATCGTATCACTGAGAGCGGAAGTTGGTACGCATTATCTACATATGTACGTACAATTATGTAAGCCAGTCGAAGTATGTACATGTTAGAAGTAATAAACCTGTTTATAAAGACTATGTGCCAAAATACGATGCTATGGTTTGGAGCTATCCATAAGTTAGATTTTAATAAGGAATATACATAATAATGTAGAAGTATATAAGTAAGTCCTCAAATGCAATTATGTAGGTACATAGTTATATTTACAGGCATAATAAAAGTTTGTCCTTGAAAACGTGTTAAGGAAATTATCCAGAGTAAACTTTATTCTTTATCAAGTTCATGTTACTCTTGATTTAGTACAGGTACATAATTTATTGCAGAACTAAGATTGCATTTACTTTTCAGAAGGGTGACATTGTTTTTGTGAATGTGGAGACTTGGGTACTGCGATGTATATATGGGAACGTCCATACATTACGTGATCATTTTAGTGGCTAGGTGGTTTAGGTCTTCGTATCTTTCCAATGTTAAAATTCCCTATCCCTTAATTTTTACGTTGGATGGGTGGGTGCTAAAATCTGAGAGTTTTTGATGACGAAATATATGGATGGCCCCTATGTACATACATAGATGGTTAAAGGTATAGGTAGTTAAATACCTGTACCTTTTGCAGGGTTGAAAAATAAAGTCCCGTTATGACTTCCCCTCGTACATATTTTCACATCAACAAATGTACGAGAAACCAATACATAGGGTTAGTTTCTAATTATTCTGAATCCAATTTAAGCAAATTATATTTAACGTGATATAATTCGAAAATATCACATTTACATATGTGAAAAGTGACAAAGGCAGAGTGTATGAATCGACACTACTATTCGTTACCACTTTTGTTAGTAGTAAAAAGTGTATTTAGTGCATTTTTAACTTAATATTGCTAACCTCTGTAAGGTGTGAAGTAGCTTAACACGGTACTAAACTTTTGTACATATACACCTGAAAAAATCTGGTAACAGCGTATTACCAGGCGGTGACTAAATATATGTGTAACTCTACCGCCATTTTAATAAATTCGTTACCTTGTACAGATAGTAAATTAATTACGCTTCTGGTTATATTTTTTTAATCCCTGGTCTTCTTTATTAGCAGTGCGGTAAAATAAAATTATTACCACCCGGTAAAAAATAGTTACCGCGGCTGGTAATAAAGGAGACCAGGGAGTATAAAAAATATAACTAGAATTGTAATTAATTTACTATCCGTACGAGGTAACTAATTTATTACCATGGCGGCTTGTTACCGGATTTTTTACCCAACTTGCAATTAATGTCTTTTTAGAGGTGAAAATCTTGCAATGGTGGGCTTATTAACCGATGTGCTACCGATAGCTTTTGGACTATTTTTGGGAAGTAAGATTGCCGATTATTTGGTTGATGTTTACCAGAATAAAGGTAATTGAAAATTTAGTGCAAGGGAACGTTCATATGCTACGTCATCAAGGAAAGCTGATTTTTTGATCATCTATACCCACCTATTCCCTTAATGTTATTAATGTTAAGGCTTAACACGAGTAGGATAAACGACCCAAAACTATCCACCCATCTTTTTGATGACGTAATATATGTATTATTTCCTCAAAGTAATTTGACTCGACAGAAAATTTCGTAAAATTAAAACCTTAACGTATTTATAACTAAATGACGTAATGCTTAAATAAATGTCGTGTTTAACCATTTTTTATTATTTCTTCAGAAACTTTTCTTGACAAGGCGCGGCAGACTGAAATTTTAGCTGCGAGGATGGCGGAGCTAATTTCTGGAATGAATTTAACTTCGCCATCGATTGAAATTACGGCGTACGGTAGGTGTTTTTTTTTTATTTTAACCTTTTGTTTATTTTAACGTCCCCTTATGATTCTGATTTCGTTTCCAAAATTATTGTGTAATGTAGAGGGATTAAGCTTGTATGCCCGGGGAAAAAAAATTAAGGGATTTCATGCAAAAATTTGGCTGGGTTTTGTGCATAGAATTGGCTGGATTTTATGCAGACAAATTTATGCAGGAACAATTTGTGCACAAAATATGCAGAATTAAATATGCATACTTGTGCTAAATTTTTCTGCAGAATATACCTGTCCGTAGTTTTATGCGGAGTCGTTCATACTTTTTCAGCACAATTCCGGCCACTTGTGTAGAATTATATAAAATTCGACATATGATTTTCACCCCGGGTGTGTCAAAGCCGATATTTGTCGAATTTGTCATACATGTATGACCATGTACATGTTAACTTGGAAAAACTCAATTTTTGTGCATTATGCTTAGGGGGAGGCAAGGAGAAATCTGTGGCTGACTTTTTCTGGACCCGATTTTCCGATCGTTACGACTTCCCCCAGAAACTCGAGTCGATGGGGCCCCTCGCCATCAAAATTAGGATTTTTCCTCAACTTTCTTCCTTCAACAAGGCGGAAATAGGGATCCGTGTTATGATTGATGGACATGCTGTAATCGTAGAAGGTAAAAAAGATTCAGTATTTCTCACTGAAATTGTTGTTTGTATGCACTCTAAGAAACCCGGTAACTAAGTTATTACCAGGCAGAGTACCTATGTGACTCTACCGCTTGGTAATAAATTTATTATTGAGTGATAGAAAATTAGTTATCAACTGGTAACATTGTCAAATTTCGCGACCGGGGTTATTACCGGTTCGGTAACATAATGTATACCACGCAATAATAAATTAATTACCATGCGGTAGAGTCGCATATGTATAGATACTCTGCTTGGTAATAACTTAGTTACCGAGTTTCTTAGAGTGTGTACACCCTTAAAAATAATGCTATACTCTTGAATGAAAAGTAAGTAAATGCAGGCTTAGGTATAAATTAAGTAAACTAATTAAACTAAAACCAGAGCAACCTGATGAATAGCAAAATTTACTCCAGATTTATTAATCGGGAGGCAAAACATGTTAAGTCCAGATTATTTTTTGACCAGCTCAGTTTGAGAGATTAACGCTATTGGAACAAAGATTTAGTACGGAATTTGAACAAATGCGCAAAATTGGCGGAGTTATGGGCGCGCGAGTTCGTGAAAGCGCTCGAGTTTCGATATCTTTGCCTTGCCGTGCAACAGCATTTCAGGTTTTTCTCGCATTGATAGCTCCTGAAAACCGAGCACTTTCGCGAAATTGGTGTGCCCTTAATAGCCCGCATTTTGCACATCTGGTCTAAGTATGTATCCTATCTAACGTTTTGGCTGTTCAAACTGGGCAGGTCAAAAAAAATTCTGGGTTGAATATATTTAGTTTGCGCCCCCATTTTTAATACCGAGTTCTTATTCAATTAACTTTTCAGAAGGGCAACCTTATTTTTAAGGGTGTGTTTTTTTATAAATTTGGGATTTAAAACCAATATTGAAACTGAATCTGCCTTCCTGACGGATATTAATCGTTGCAAATTTGTCGACCCGGTCCCGCTGAAAGGATGGATTGTTCTGTACACACCTGCAAATTTGGAGGGAAATTGGGATATTTCACCCATTACCTCGTTTATCCCTTATTACAGTATTAAAAAATAAGTCTTCTGCACTCTTAAAAATAGTGTTTCCCTTTCTAAAAGTAAGTGCACGGTGAATTATGTACTAAGTAAACGAAACTAAATCCAGTGTAAACTTTGCTGTTTGTCCGGTTAACGGGACTCTGGATTTAGTTCGGTTTACTTAATTAAGAACTCGGACTGCATTTACTTTTCAAAAATGGGAACATTATTTTTAAGAGTGCATGTATTAAAATTTTGGAAATTTTAACCTTGAAATTATGTACTTTAACAGCATCACGTTACCGCCAGCCTTGGGCACCTTTAACTAGGCCGATCTATGGGGCAATAACTTCTGAAACGTCGGCGTTTCTGGACCCCAAAAGAAATATCCTAGTGGCAACCAAGATTTACGAATACTAAACTAGGTACATAGATTCGTATATCCCGAGTTTGTCGTACGGAATTTAAATAAATTGAAGATTCGTATTTATTATGTATGTATATATATTATATGTAATTATATGAATGAATACGAATGAATAATGAATAATATATATGAATAATATGTATTATGTATGTATTATGTACATATGTAAAACCTATGCCAGTCGAAGTATGATGTCATGTTATAAGTATTAAACCCGTTGACAAAAGATCGTGTCCGGCTTCTACGATGTTATGAACCATGCATCCATAAGTTAGATTTTAATAACGCATTCATCACACAATGTAGAAATTAAGAAGTACGTATGTATACATACGTTTGAGGACTAATTATAATTAGTAATTATATTTCTAGGCATAATAAAATTTTGTCCTTGTAAACGTTTTAAGTAATTTATGTCAAATCCAGAGTAAACTTTACTCTTTATCAGGTTGACGTTACTCTGGATTTAGGAGATACAGTTAACTTATTGCAAAATTTCAGATTGCATTTACTTTTTAGAAGGGTGACAATGTTTTTTAGAGTGTGGAGACTTACTGCGATGCACACAAACATATATGTACATATACATACTCAGATGGTCAAAAGTACTGGTATTTAGCTACAAATGTACATATGCACAGGGTGGTTTAAATGTCACGCTACAATGGAAAATCTTGCACAGGGAAAAGTCCCTAAATCTCCATTAGTTACAACATTTTGGATTGAAATTTTTGTTAGATAATTGTTATCGAAACTGATGACAAAATTTTTAGATAGAATGCTGACCTCCATTCACAGACAAAATTTGCGTAACTGATGGAACTTCAGAAATTTTTCTCATTGAAGAATTTTCCATTGTAGCATGACATTTAAACCACCCTGTATGCATGTACATAAATATATACCTGTACCTTTGACCATAAAAGGTATACCTTTTGCAGGATTGAAAAAAAGTCCCGTTATGACTTAGCCTCATAGATACATATTTACACATCTACAAATCTACGAGTAACCAAATCTATAGGGATCGATTCACTGAATTACTCTAAATAGAATTTAAACAAATTATATGTAAAATTATATAATTCCAAAATATCACCATTTATGTACGTGCAAAATTACAAAGCTGGAGCGTATCCATCGACAATCTTTTTTAGTTCGGAAGTGGATTTAGTGCATTTTGAACTTAATAAGTGCATACTGTTAATTTGTGTTAAATATTTGAAGTAGGCTACAAAATAGCTTGACACAAACAAACTTGTGTACCTATGTATGGACATACTCTAGAAAGTCTGGTAACACCTTATTACCAGGCGGTGACTATGTGTGTAACTCTACCACCATGGTAGTAAATTCGTCACCTATTTAGCGGTAGTAAATTAATAACAATTCTGGTTTGATTTTTTTACTCCCTGGTCTCCTTTATTAGCAGTGAGGTAATAAATTTACTATGTACCAATCGGTAAAAATAGTCACCCTGTGGTTATGGTCTTGTTACCGGATGTTTGTTACCCAATTTACTTTAATTGTTTGGGAATTAATGTCTTTTTAGGGGTGAAGACTTGCAATGGTTGGCTTATTAACCGATGTGCTACCGATAGCTTTGGGAATATTTTTGGGAAATAAGATTGCCGATTACTTATTCAATGCTGATCAGAATAAAGGTAATTCAAAATTTAGCGTAAGGTAACGTTCATATGTTACGTGATCAAAAAACGCCAATTTTTAAACCACCCATCCAGTCCTTCCCTATCTTAAGCATGTTAGGTTTAATACGAGTAAGATTAACGGGCCAAAACTATGGACCCACATTTTTGATGACGTAATATATGGACGTCCCCAAGCCTTGAGGATGATGGGTTGCGAGAAATTTTCATTAACAGGTGCAAAAGTACGCAATATTATAGAATTAATTAACTCCATAAGATATAATTATAAGGGAACCGTTTTCCATGTCCCACCTAGATTTCGAAAAAGGACAAATCAATTTCATTTCGACATATTAATCCGATTCGACATTAATTGTTTGCAAAACTAAATCTTTATGATATGAATAACATGATGAGATGACATACCTACATAATGTTTAAATGTCATAAGTATTTAACTATTTTATTAAATGTCTCCACAGAAACCTTCCTTGAGGCTGGGCGGCAGAGTGAAATTTTAGCTGCGAAGCTAGGGGAGCTAATTTCTGGGATGAATTTAAGTTCGTCATCAATTGAGATTACAGCATTCGGTATGTAGGCATTTCAGAGTGGTAATTTTTTCAGATTTGTCATATTGTCCCAATTTGTCAAATTTGTCGTATTTGTCATATTTGACCATCCAATTTGTCATAATTCCAATTTGACCGACATTCATAAGTCATGAATCATGACAATATGTACATATGATGAACAAATTGGACATTTGACAAACATGATGGAAATATTTGACACTTACGATCAATTAAGTTGAACATTCATGTATGTCAAGACAGGTGGACAAATTGAGCATTTATGACAAATTGACAATTATGACAATTTGAACTTGTCATATTTGTCACAGATTTTAAATTTTTGACAAATTGGACATTTCTGACATGTCAATTTGTCAATAACATTTCATTACATAGTGAACAACAATTATCCTGACACACTCGAACTTTTTGTTTATTTCCTTTTAACATTTTGCTCAGGGGAAAACAATGAAAAATCCGTGGCTGACTATTTTTGGATGGGATTTTCCAAACGCTATGGCTTCTCTGAAAAAGTAGAGCGGATGGGGCCTTTCGCCATCAAAATTAGGGTTTTTCCCATATGTACGTGGGTGTTTTATTATTGATTTTCAAAAGGTATGTTCCGCACTGTTTCTGACCAAAATTTTGATGAAATAACAAACTTCAAAAACATTTTGGAAGTCGTGATTTTTTTCAGCTCAATCGGTTAAAAGAAACACCCGCAACAAATCATCCAAATTTACCTCGAAAATATGCAAAAATTTACGACTTGATTCCATTATCATCCTAAAATCGTTTCCCCCTGATGTTTTTCTTCAACGTTTGAAACGGATAATAATCACTAAGGGTCCTGTCTGGACTGCACGGGGGGTGGTCTGTGCAGGTAAAGCGATTTTCGTCTGCATCAGCTCTCTAAAACAGTGAGGTATTTGGTGGCGCGTTCCCAATAAGAATTTTCCCTGTGAATCAGGCGTTTTACGTTAGGTAAAAAGGCCCAGTAAACTGCACAGTACTTGGAAGAAAGTGACGGCCTTAATACTCATTAATTTTACGTGCGTAAAACATTGAATTTACAGTGATACATCAATTATGTAAAACGAGTATAATTCCACCGTAATATTGTGACATGGGATGTTCGTTAGACTGATGTATTATAAAGCAGTAAAACGAGTGTAAAATCATTTGAAATTATATTGCATTGCTAAAATTACAATTTCTTAAGAAAAATCCCAATTGATGATTACAATGAATTAAATTACTTAAAAGGCATTACTAAATATTAATTATAATTAATTTGCATAATTTTCTAACATAGGAATACATACGAAAGAATTAATATCATTTCTAAACGGCAACATTACACATTTTTGTCTCAAATCTAAAATATTTAACTCAATCCTATCAGACACGCTTGACCCACATTTAAATATGTTCAACTTGCTACTTCGTATTGGGTACCGGCTAATATCCGTGCGACATAAAACTTTTCTTACAACGACAATAACACGATGATCACTACAAATTTTAATTTTATCAACAAGTACAATTTGATCATTACTTAAAACAAAACAATTGTCTCCCTTTCTTAAACCTACAGAAAATTTTGGTAAATAATACTTTCTAGCGAACCCGTTTTTGATCCCAACTGCTCCACGCTTTATTATTTTCCTGTCTCTTATAAAATTATAATTGTCATGCTCTGTAACACGCTTCACTACTTGTTCCAGCATTAACCTTTTACTTCTAACTAACGACTTTAGGAATTGTAAGTAGTTTTCAAAGGGAAAGGCGCTAACGTTGTCAAGGCCACCAAAATTTTTAGCATCATCTGAAATATGCAAAAGTGAATGCACATTATAAATGACTGGCGTGTTTCCATAATTAAATGCCATCCCTTCAACGAAATTGTGCATCCACTGTCTGGCTATGGCGTTCCAGTTTGGGTCACTGGCGCTGCATGATAGTAAAACATAACTAGCAGAACTTAGCAATAAAAAATATCTGTACAAATTATCAGGCAAAATTCCACGTAGTGCAATAGGCCCTGTATATAGCAAGAATTGCCTGAATTCCGTAGCCTTGTATCTCTTTACATCCTTCAATCCACGAGGTTTTCTTTTAAATTCAAATGGAAGATGATTTGAGACAGAATTCAGATAATTCGAAATTTGGGAAATGGATGTTGATGGTAGGCGAGTTTTGAGGGGACCCGAAATCCAATACAACAAGAGCTTTTTCATTACTCCTAAGCATATGCAATGCATATAATCGATAACTACCTGTGACACTAGTCCAATTTGTAAAATATTTAGTGGCGAATCATACATATGATGATCTGCATCTCTTTTTTCACTAAAACTATCATCAGATCTATCTGCAGATGGTTTGAACGAAAAATAAACTCTTTTATCCCACTCGCCTTCATCTATACATCTTTCACATCCGTGATAGGCATTATGATTTTTGCAACCTTTAATAAAACTATGTGCAGGGGCGTCTGCAATAATACAACTAATCCTAAAATTGTAATGTGCTCCACAAATATCTATTCCATTAATTTCTAAATCTCTAGCTTCATTAATAAATTGCTCGAGAAATTCTTTAAGGCAGCCTGGTTTACCTTCACCACAATATAAACCTGCCAACATCGGTTGCAACCCTCTGAACTGATCAATTATGAACAAAATAGGCCACATATGTACATTACTACTCTTACATACAGGAAAACCGTCGGTTCCGATACTAATTGAAATAACATTTCCTAAATTCTGACACATTTTGGATACAATTGGTAATTTTGACAATGAAAAGTTACCCGCTTGACAGAATTTAACAATTTGTTTTCTGATACCAAAGTAAAAATATTTACCACCTACAATATTTGTGGTTCGAATTATTTTAGGGGTTTGTAGCAATGTTTTTGAGCAAAGAGGTAAGTTTTGAGACTCTGGAATGTGCGGTGAAATTATTTTTAACAGCGCGTCCAGCGCATGATGAGTAATATTATTATTAAAACTCCATTGTCTAAGACTATCCGGCAAAGATAAAATTTCTGTACTAGATTGTGCTAAACTAATCCTGAGATCTGGTTCATCAATGACTAAATCTGGAAGGTCTTGGATAGATTGTTTACGATATGAAAATAATGCACCGCGTGGGGATGGGGTTTCAGCTTGAGATACTTGTTGGGAGATGTTTAAAAAATTTAGATTAGATGCGATCTCTTGATTAATTTTCCTCCGCCTCGTTCTGTACGACATTTTCGTTCTTTTTTGGTCTGGCGTTCTGTAACCAAGTTTGAATCCACTTGATAAATTCAGCTTTCTTTGAAGATCGGCATACGTCGTTTTCGTTAAGAGCTCCTACAATTAAATATATTGTAGGAGTTTTATCTTGACTATTAATTAATAAATTTAAATAAGATTATAAATAATTAGACCACTGTTATTAACTTACTAATTACAGATGCAAACAGCTTGGAATCCTTGAATCCAAATTTATCGTTTGCTCCAATGAAATTCGTTTTAATTGCCAACGAGTTAGACAGGAGATTTAATAACATAGTAGTCACCACCTTCTGTGGCGTTGTTCCTCCAAATGAGCCCAGGACCTCCACCTGAATTTATTAAGATGCATATTTTTATTTGGAATGACAGAATTGATATTGGTTTTTATTGGATTAATCTCACCAAATCTTGAGCGTTGGATTCCAGAGTTATCCACTCTTCTAACTTTTGGACGTCCTCGATTGACTGCAACGGTAGTTGGATTGGAAGCTGTATTTCTTTGGATTTACTGGGTTGTTTAGTTCTTAAAAGTAGTTGACCGATTCCACTGTTAATTGCTGAGAACGATGAAACCACAAGTTTCTCAAGAGCTAATAAAATATTTGTTCATTTTTGTATAAATAGCTCCAAGTTGAATTCTTTATAATAATAAAAAAAACATACCAATTTGTCTATTCCACAACTCTGTAAAAGTTTTCCCGACGGGTTGATGTGATTCCGGCTGCAAATTCGTCGGCAAACTTGGTGGCAAATTAATGAAGGTGCTAATGGTGTTTAAATTGCGATCAGTTTCATCTGTATTCCTTGATTCCAAATCCATATTTTCTTCATTCAAGTCCAAATTCAGACTATTTGCATCCACGTATAAATAAGTAGTTGACATAGGATTGTTTAATTCTTCGATGTGGTCGACCGAGCTCGTGCCAATAATCCCCTGACTGAATTGTCCCACGTTGTTTGGGTTATGACCTACAAATTTAACTACGGTATACAACGATATCTCACTTTGGTCAAACAATCCTTCATCCTTCAAGATTTACCGAGTTTTGGAAGTTTTGCTACAGCTTCATCATCCGACTCAATAACAGGGGAGGTCGACCGCAAATCATCATCCAAATCCGCAAATCATCAATGTGTTTTGATAATTTCTTCGTAATTCTGGATCTTTTCCTTGACCTGCCAGCCCCAACGTCAGGATCGGAGGAAGAGAGATTTGAATCTTCTGCTATTTTCTTTTCAGTCCGTCTCCCAGCTTGATAATCAGCTAGATTGTAATTCAAAAAAATACGATTTAGATTCTAATTATGTCTTAAAAAATTTCATATAAATTTTAACTAAATATATTTTGTGCTTACAAAAAGATTTCTTAAACGAACAAGGCAGATAAGGCCAATTGTCTTGTGGTAGTGAGCAGGATTTGATAAGGGATGCAGAAATTTGATTTGCTTTCCGTCCCGATGGCCACCGACACTGAGTTCTGGTCTTATCCAACCATGATGACGGAACGAGTTGCACTGAATCGTCGTCTGATGACGTGAAGTGGACAACAGCAAACATTGTAGTCCCTAAATACAAAATAAAAAGCGATAAGGCAAACCGGGTTGCATATAATTCTCATGCCAATAATTTCTAAGAAAACTTACCAAACAGGATTGTACAACACCGATTCGGATAATCCAATGGTTCGAATATTTAAAATTTCGAAATTGACAAGTTGGTCAAATTAATAGAGATTTCTCGAGACACCGTCCAAGATCTCACTGCTGCGAGGAGGTGAGGCGAGAAAAGCGTGGCCGCGCATATTGGGGTATTACGTTCATTATATAGAGTGAAATATGCTTGTATTATTGGCCAAGTTTTACGGACTTACTACATGTGTTTTACGGTGGTTTACGGAAACATAATACTACCACTTTACTAATCTATAAAATGCCAATTCTAACCTCGTTTTGATTACATAATAAATGTCAGACTGTATAATCCATGTTTCAGTGAACCAAAGTACATGTCATTTACATTTCCCAGCGATTTACAGGGTTTTCAACAAAATATGCTCGATTTACAGGGTATGATTCTTAGTGGGTTGTCGTCTAAAAAAGGCCAACTCTTTATTTTGACCCCGCGTTTCTTTTCAACCGCAGAACGCAGCTCCTTTTGGGTTCCTGCATACGCGACCCCATTTATCGTAGTAATTCTAGCAATAAATTTTATAAGGAGGAGACCTTGGGTATCCTTCAAACTGATGATCATCAATTTTTTGGCAGATTTTTGCACTTTTCCTTTTATGTGTGGTGGAAATCCCCCGTGCTTCCAATGCATGAATTATTGTGTGGTCGTCGGGTCATAATAGTAAACCCAAGTATCATATTCAACTACTAAAATATGATACAGGTTCCAGTTTTCATTTAAAAGCTCAAAATTTGCATTGCAAAAGCAACTCGATCTTGTTTTTGAGATGCCAAAAGCAATTTTGATACCCAACAGAAGGAATCCATTTTCATACCTAAGTCTTCAGTTAACATGGAACAAATTATTGGGTTTGGAACACCCATCTCATCTGCTAAATAGGACAGTTTCAATCGTGGATCTCTAATAATTGGGTCTTTAAGTTTCTGGAGGTTTTCTGCGGTGGATTTTGGGTATCCTGGCGACTTTTTTGTTTGGGACATCTTCTCGCCTTTATTTGAACTTATCGACCCAATTGTATTTGTGCTTTGTGTTGAGCAGTTTCCATCGTAAGCTTTAAGCATTCGATCATAAATCTGCGACACATATTGCCCCTCCAGCAATAAAATTTAAATCACACTACGATGTTTAATTTGCAAATGTGACATTTTTTCCGTCGAGGTAAAGTTTGCTGATTTATTGCTAGTGTTAATGTTAACCTAAAGGGCTGAAAAAAATCACAGCATCCTAGATGTATCTAAAGTTTGTTATTTCATCAAAATTTTGGTCAGAAACAGTGCGGAACATACCTTTTGAAAATCAATAATAAAACACCTACGTACATTACGTCGTCATTTTAGTGGATGGGTGGACTTGGTACATACAAGTTAAAATTCCTTATCCCTTCACGTTTACGTTGGATGGCTGGGTGGGTGCTACATATATAAGCTAGAGCTTTTTGACGATGTAATATATGGATTGACAGACAGTTTGGCGAAAGCCGATTTGGCGAAAATAAATTTTCGCCAGTGGTAAAAAAACTATGATGAAGGTCCCGGATGGCGAAATTTTTGTCACATATGGCGGAAATGAAAAACTCGTAAAAGCACATTTGGCGAAATATAAATTTCGCATGTATTCATGTCAAACGCCTTAAAATGAACACAATTGTATATATAAATTATTAGATAATTCAAATTCCAGAAAATTTGGACTTACAGGGAGCGCTTCCGACAAGTTTGGATAACCAAGTTACAAACTTTTCATGGTTTAACATACTCATAAAACCTTCATTTTCGCCAAATGTGACATTCTTTTCGCCAAAAGATACTTTGAAACCGTTATTCTAAAAATGCCGAAAAGTGGATGTTTTTTTTCGCCAAACGGGATTTTTTTGGCGAAGTTTTTTTCGCCAAAAGGGTTTTCGCCAAACTGTCCGACTTCCAATATCTGCATTCCAAAAGTGCCTGCGTCGTTTAGTCGTTAATTCGTTGTGGCGAAAGAAAATTGATGAAGCTACATATTTTCAGCGAATTGCTTCAATTAGTTACAAAATCCGTGTAAATTTTGGTAGAGAAATTAAAACAGGATTTATTCCGCCGCTTTAATATTCTTGCTTGACAAAGTGATTAAAACTTAAACGAATTACTTTTAAGAGTGTGCAGACATGGTAGATGGATGGATAAAGGCTCAAGGTTACCTTATGATGAAGGGCTGGAAAATAAAGTCCCGTCATGACTTCACTTCAGAAATACAAATATACTAGTGTATAAGCCCATCTCCCGCGGGGCGAAAACTTATTTAATTTTCGTGAAAATTAAGTGCGATTGTTCATAATTCCAGCGAATCTATTTTTACTATATACATAATCAGCTAGAAATGCCTCCTGACATCGCCATGACTTACTTTCTCCATTTTTACTTCCGTTACGGGAATTACTTTCACTTCCGTTGCAGACAAACATTTCCAGTTTATAATATAGATTTGGTTTCTTCTTCGGAATACAAGCTATGTACATTAACCCAAGTAAGTAAATTTAATATTGTATAATTCTACAATGTCACCATTTGTTTGGAAAAAATCTAAATTTTGAGCTTATCGTCACACACGTTCGTTACTAAATTCTTGATAAATACTTTTTTTAATTAGCATGTGTACTTTTAGTTCAATATTGTCACCTGTGTTCAATATTTGACGCAAGGGGTGAAATATTTTAACATAAATTCGTGGTTAAATTTTTTAGTGGTCAAAGTCTTGCAATGGTTTTCGGACTGAGCGATTTGTTACCGATAGCTTTGGGCATTCTGTTGGGAAATCTGATTCTTGACTATTTATTCGATGTGGACAGAAACAAAGGTAATTTTAGGCTAATTTATTACCTATGTGAATATACGTACAGGGTGGTTTAAATGTCAGGTTACAATGGAAAATCTTTCAATGGGAAAAATTCGTAAATTTCCATTAGTTACGGATTTGGGATTGAGATTTTTATTAATTTTTATCTAAACTTATGGAACACTGATGACAAAATTCTTAAAATATTGAATTTCAGAGGCAAAATTTCGGTAACTAATGAAAATTTGCGAATTTTTCCCAATGAAAAATTTTCCATTGTAACCTGACATTTAAACCACCCTGTATTGTTAGAACTCTCCCAAGCAACCTCAATGCGAATTTACTGCGAATTCCAATGCTAGTTTATGCAATTTTTGTGCATAAAAAGTTGTAATCATTAATTTGTACAAGATTCGTGCAAAATGTGTATCAATTTTTGTGCTACTAATAAATTAGCACAAGAAATCCACTAAACTATCACAACTTAATAAGTAGCAAATTATTACAAAGGAACAAGTGCATATTTAGTGCGTATTTGTTAGCACTAAATTTTCATGAGATTTCTTGCACCAAATTCATGCATAATTCGTACGTGGGAAATTGTACAAAATCAAAATGCAGTAAACAGGTGCCAGTATATTTACACGAAATTCGTACCGATTATTCTGTAATCATTTACTACTAAATTAGTAACATTTCTCTATTGGCGATTAAATAAACCCACCTCAAGTCAGTTATTCTTTTTGCCATGCAGTGACATCAACTCCATCATTTCTTCTCCATTTTTAATTTCCAACGAAAAAATTTATTTAGATAGATAGTTAGGGTCGATCTTCTGTCGGACAAAAGTTCGTATTCATCAAGTTTGAAGTCGACAAAGGGCCAAGATTGTGCCGTCTACTTGGATTTCAAAAGATTGGACGACTAATGGCGTGTTATATGCCGGAAAATACGGTAATTACATATATACACACATATTGTTGTTAGCTACTTTTGCATTAATATATATTCGGGTTATTTATGTAAATAAAATATACGTTTTGCATAATTTATAGATTCATACGTTGAGAACACATATGTATAAGGAATAAACCTATCGACTCATGTCGACAAACGGCCAGCCTAAATTATCAGCAGAAGAGCCTGAGGTGAATAAAGAAATATTGTCCAGGAATTCATTTTAATTTAGTCTTTCTCTATACTCCGTAAGTACGAATTCTGCAGATTAATTACGATAAATATTTGTGTATCCCAATTTGCAATTATCTTTTAATAAGTTAAGTATTTGGAGATAACATTATTGTAGAAATACAGTAGATGAATTTGTAATAAATAAATAATAATTGAACTATGAGTAATACGTATAAATGAATTTGTATTAATTTCATGCGTACCATTAGCACACAATTAGCAATAGATTCGCACTAAATTCGCACTAGATTCGCACCAAATTCTCACTTCATTAATGCATATTAATCATCACCAAATTTACACAAAATTCTCACATATTTGTTTGTGTTAATTTTGTGCATATTTGGTACAAGTAAACTTGTAGTGACAAATTATTGGTATGAATTTTGTACATGCGACTTGTACAAAATAATCACAAGTCGGCTTCACATTTTCACGGAAAATATGCATTAATCCAGTTGTACAAATTTAGTACAATAGTTGCAGATTTTGGTTGCTTGGGCTATTTCACTTATTTTCTGCATTTATATGCATTTTCGTGCATTTGTATGCATTTTGATGGACCATGCATGCATAAAAATAATTCCGTGCGCACAAATATGTAGATACACTGGATACAAATATCTAACCACAAATATTCTTGGCTTCACCTTGGCAAGCACTTACGAGATGCGCCTTATAAAAACCTGGTCTTTTAATTGTGGTTCTAAAGGTATCAGTGATGGGATTTTTGCCCCTCGTCCTCATTTTTGAGTGAGGGGGAGGAGTAAAGAGGGGGAGTAGCTAGTGTTTTTGCTCCAAAATGAGGGGAGAGGAGGGGAGGACTAAAAATTTGAGGAATTAGTGAGGAGAGGGGGAGGAGGAGGACTAAAAATTTGAGGAATTAATGAGGAGAGGGGAGGACGAGGACTAAAAATTTGAGGAGTTAGTGAGGGGAGGGGAGGAGGAGGACTAAAAATTTGAGGAATTAATGAGGAGAGGGGAGGACGAGGACTAAAAATTTGAGGAGTTAGTGAGGGGAGGGGAGGACGAGGAGTAGAAATTTGAGGAGTCGATGAGGGGATAAGAGGACGAGGAGTAAATTACTCCTCGTCCTCTTTACTCCTCTTACTCCGAGTAAAAGGAGGGAGTAAGACACAGATAGATATATACTACTGTCCGCTCTGTGACTGTCCGTCTATCTGTCTGTCTTTATCCACGATAACTTTAGAACAGATTCAAATTTCGCCATGCGGTTTTCGCGACGTGTTTCTAATTTTGAAGTACGGATGAGTTCGGAGATGGGCGTCGTAGGTCATAAAGTCACGGCGCTACGGTGATGACATATACGGTCTAAGATGTCGAATTTTTTATTTTGACCGTTTTAGACTTATTTTTAGACGGGGATTTCAAAAATCGCCATCATTTCGACGTGTGACGATACCATGACCCTGTAGATGTCGCCCAAGTCGAAAATTGTTGAATTTTTCGTCTCGACCGTTTTAGACGTAGTTTTGAGCGGGGATTTGAAAAATCGACGGTTTTGTCATTTCACGACCCTGTGAGGAGTAGAAATTTGAGGAACTGGTAAAGGGAGGGGAGGGTGAGGACTAAAAATTTGAGGAGTTAGTGAGGGGAGAAGAGGAGGAGGACTACAAATTTGAGGAGTTAGTGAGGGGAGGAGAGGAGGAGGACTACAAATTTGAGGAGTTAGTGAGGGGAGGAGAGGAGGAGGACTACAAATTTGAGGAGTTAGTGAGGGGAGGAGAGGAGGAGGACTACAAATTTGAGGAATGGGTGAGGGGAGGGGAGGATGAGGACTTAAAGTTTGAGGAATGGGTGAGGGGAGGATGAGGACTTAAAATTTGAGGAATGGGTGAGGGGAGGGGAGGGTGAGGAGCTGATCAAAAGTCCCAACTCTGAAAGGTATGCATCTGATTTAGTTCGCTTGCACTTATGTACATACATACACACGAAGTATGCGCATACACATGTATATATGTACATATGTATGTATCTTCGCTGCCGAACACAACCGAAACTGGGTATGAGATGGGATTAATGAGTTTCGTTATCCAGCATAGGTGCTGAATCAGAGCTGGGAAAATTATTATTAACATAGTTGCGATTACAATTCGGATTAGGTAATCTTAATCCATAATAAAATTTTAACTCATTACTTTAATCATAATCTCGTACATCAACTCAATTTAATCTAATTCATAATTTTTAATCTGGATTCTAATTATGACTAGAAGCACGTGACTCTAATCCTCGTAAGTTTCAAAGCACGCTCACCTCTCAGAATGCGAAGATGTAAAGTGTAACACGCCAATTTTGTTAAAATTTTTGAATTATGAAGTTGAAGCCAGCCAGTACAACTAGCAGTTCGTGCGATGGTTACAAAGCTTTAAAGTGCTTGAGGTCAAAGTTTAAAAATTTGAGATTTTTATCGGGAGAGAATTAATTATTATCCATATTTATATTATATTCATACACTCTAAGAAATTGGGTGATAGGCGCTATCACCGCGCGAGTGGAAATAGCAAGCGTCACCGTAATGGTGATAAACCTATCACCGATATTTGTCACCATTGGTGGTGACCGCCACTACCACCCACCATGGTGGTAGCTTCGCAATGCACGTGACTTACAGAGTGGCGAGTTTGTCCTACTTCACGCACCAGCCGACAAGCAGCGGAGTTGTAATGTAAAATTACTTTGTGGTTCAAAGTTGAAGAGGAAAAAAAATTAATACCGTGCGCAAATAATTATGGCGAATTTATTGACAGGTAAAAAATTGAAAAGTTAAAATTTAGCTAAGTTTGGCCAAGGTTTAATTTTTAGTTGAAGAAAACTTTGGACGTGGATGCCGAGATTCGCCTAGATGACAAAGAAGGAGCAGAGATTGACGAGGTAATGTTTCCATTAAATTTAGTTGGTTATTTTTTGCAGCTACTCATAGGTAATTAATATATTTTTATCTAATTGGTCCGCCAACTGTAATCGATGCGAGTCAATAACTGACGAATGTGGTCACCGGTTGTACGGCAAAAAAGTTGCTGATAGTACAACGTCATCTGTACAAATAAAAAAATTGTGCCAAAGTTCCAACTAACAGGTAAAGTAATAAGCTATGATTTCTGGACCAATCTAAATCAACATTAATTAATTTCAAACTCTAATTAATTTCAGTCAGTGTCCTACATGTCGTGACTGGAAACTCTTCGCAACTTCAATTGCTGGTGCAATTCCACAAATGGGGAGGAACAGGTTTTACATACACATATATAAAATATGAATTATCTGTTAAAGTATTTGAATAAAGCAATAAATTGTGAAAAATGTGACATTTTTGTGTGAAGAAGCGAAATTATTTTTATTTATCGATCACCAGACAGTGACATGGCGAACTAAATATGGTGGTGGTATATCACCGAACGGTGATAGAAAATATTGATCGTTCCACCACCATCCGGTAGAGGTCTATCACCACGATGGTGATGGAACTTTTTATCACCGCATGGTGGTAGGTTACCACCATTGCGGTAGAGTCACATATAGTCACCGCTCGGTGACAGTCCGGTAGTAAAATTTCTTAGAGTGTACTAATCATTATTCATATTAATGATTGTTTATACTAATTATTTATATTAATCCATAGTCGCGAAATTTCCAGAATTTATAGATTAATCCCGATATAAATTAATCTCAGAAAAATAAGTCTAAAACAAATCCAGCATCAACAAACTAGACTAAGAGGGAAAAAATTGCATAAACGTAAATTAATGTTATTAATCTATTGATAATAATTAATCTCTAGTCTTTAATCCCAGTCCTCAAAGCAGACTTACGTAAATTAATTTAGTAGCTACAGAAGAATTTTAATTTCTAGAATTTTTGGAATTTTTAATCTCGAAAGTCATTAATTTCTCAGCTCTGGTGCTAATATATACATATATTTAATTATTATCAACCTGGATCTGTCAATTCCCATGCATGCATAAGTCAGCTTTTCCACCACATATCTTGTCCAACCGAACCATCATCACGTTCCTATCCATAATTTCAAGAAATTAAATCAAAAAGTGCAGAAAGTACAATAAATTAGTGATATGGATTTCTTATTTGAGGTTAGGAGATTTGATTATGACCTAATAGACTCGAATACTTGGGCGACAATTGGTGTGACCTTGAGTTTGGGCTTACTTTCATGGTTATGGAGCTTAGGAAATTTGAAATCCCCAGGTAAATATTAATCTTCACGTATTTACATACATACACACATAATTAAAATTCTTAGACAATACATACATATGAAATAAATACATACGTACAATAAATAATATGTAGCTTTCAATTTGTGGTTAGCCAAGATGATTTGATATTTTTTATTACCTATATATTTCTCAGAAACTATGCTCAACAATTCACAACAAAGCGAAGTATTGGCAGGAAGAATGGGTGAGCTTATGTCCGGTATAAACTTGACTACCACTTACATTCAACTAAAATCTCTGGGTTAGCATAACGATGCATTTTTTAAAAAAAAGTATTCATAGTTAGCAAGTATTTCTTTCAGGAGGAGGTGATGAGAAAAGCGTCGCGGACTACTTTTGGTCCGGGTTTTCCAAGAATTTGGACCCCCTGGAGATTGGACATTATGAAATCAAAGTAGTGATTTTGCCCCCTTCCTCCAGCAACAGATCGGACGCGTCGATCTATTTTACTCATGATGACCATTCTTTCGTTCTGAAAGGTAAAAATACCATTTTCATTGCTTCGTAATAGTCGTTGCTTTAAGAAATGTTTTAAGTGACAAAAGTCGTCCTGAAAAATTGTGATTTGTGAAGATGATTTTCATTTCTGTGGGGTCGTTTCTGATTTCCGTTATTTCCTCCGCTCGTAGTAAAATTTGTCATTTTGAGGGATTTTTTTTATCCTCCTATATTTACAAAGTAAATGTCAAATTTGAATCTTTTCTTGCCAAAAATTTTGCCATTTCCCAATTTTACTCAATGTTATTTTATTAAACTTTCTAAATTCCTCCTCCCTCACCATACCATGACCACAAAATACTTTTATGTACGTCTTCCAATTAATGCACTTTCTTGTAGTTAATGATCCTCGTTAAATGGTTAATTAATGCAATATCTTTTGTTTTTTTCGTAATTATTTAGGGTTCAAGTCGCACATGGCGGATGAACCCGCATACCTGTGGGAAATCGATGGATGCACATTTCCGGTCCCTGTTCCATTGAAAGCTTGGCTAGGCGTGTATAAAATTGCGGAATATAATGCAACCCTTTTATCACTTAATTGGCCTTCCGGTAACAGAATAAATTTTGTAGTATTATTTATTGACGTAAAAACATGCAGGAAATTGAACATAATTTAAATTACTTGGACAGGGTACACATTGCATACAATTGCATATAAGTGTCAGCCTAAAGCACCGTTTTGGCCAACTTACGGTATCGTCACTTCAAATGTTTCCCATGTTTTGGACTCCAGCCTAAATATTCTGCTAACGGCGAGGATTTGAGACTAAAATTGCTTATCTTTGCTTCGTAATTAAGCACTAACAAGGGACACTCATGACCTGTCGTTTGAGTCCAGAGTACCCACTATGTTTTTTAGAATCTACTAGGACCCCAGATGAAGGATTCATTCATATTTCCGTGTAAAACTCATATTTGGCGCCATGGCGTGGCGCCAAACGTCAAAATTTGCATTTTCGACCAGTTTCAAACCCCCATAACTTTTGCAGTTTATGTCGGATTTTCAAAATTTTATGCTTAAAATGATCACAAAAGTCGAAATTTTTTAGAAAAAAATCAAAATAAAAAATTTATAATTTTTGAAATATTTTTAGCATTTTTTCGACGAACCCCCGTTTATAAGAAAATTACGAAATTTTACGAAAAGTTAAAAGTGATAATTTTGGAAAAAATTTCATGGGATACGAAAGTTGAACTCCTTGTCATGATTTTTGCCAAAAATTTTGAAAATCCGTCCAGGTTTTCAAAAGTTATGGCGGTTTCAAAAATAAAAACATGCAAATTTGGTGAATTTGGCGCCACGCCATGGCGCCAAATATGAGTTTTACACGGAAATATGAATGAATCCTTCATCTGGGGTCCTAGTAGATTCTAAAAAACATAGTGGGTACCCTGGACTCAAACGACAGGTCGTGAGTGTCCCTTGTAAGATTGATAATTGTATGTGTTTTTGATGTTAATATTTTGAAAATTTTGTTCCATTTCAAGTATTTTGCATATGTGTGTATCTATCTCAACAAGTAATTAATTGTAAGAATAAATAGAATAATGCAAATTAATAAATCCAGGTCATTTTCATACAGTTTCGTTTTAGTTTTAGTTTCGAAAAGTTTTCATGCACGACGACCAGTTTGAGAAACAAAGTCCAAGGCGGGATCCATTTTTTGCAACTTTCACTTTCTCACGTCATCATCAGATGTTTTGATATTTAAAGTTTTCATATTACTAAATATTTACAAAATTTACGGTAATAAATAATTTATTTTCTATCACTTCTGCCAAGTAAAATAAGGTAAGATTAATTAAATATGTACAATTTGCGTAAATATATTGTTAAACAATAATTGTTTCATATTTATTAAAAAGTTTGAGTTGAAGTTGAAGTTGATAATATTTATTCGATATTTGCATTGGAGTTGGAGTAAATGTGTAATTTTTTTTATATTTACTCGTCAAAGTCGTCCAAATATTGTTCTTTTATTTAATAAGTTACACAATTCTGTTACAATTCTGTTAGTTTTTTGAAAATGATGAAATATTTACTAATAATTAATTACATATCATGCTTTATGATTTTTTAGCGTATTAATTTTCCATGATGGTCAAGATTTGACCCCAAGAATCATGGAAACGTGCACATTTTGTGGAGGCCATGAACCCTGTGTCCTCCCGACCCCGACAAGCGGACCTCTTTCGACCTACTCGGCCTCCTGCGTGACCTCTCTGCTCACCGTGTTCCACATCGACGGCGCGGACCCCGTCGCTGCGCACCTCGCCGCGTCCGCGCTCTCCTGCGCGGACTGCCTTCAACTCACGCGCGACATCGACTTGGAGTTAAGATCGCTGCTCAAATTCCTCAAAAATCTGGACCTTCTCCGATCCCGGTTGGCGAGGAGGGTCAAACGCGCCGCGGCCGTCGATGCGAAGACAAATTCTGAACTTTCCGCGACTTGCGACCTCAATGAAAGTAAGTTTTTAAAATAAAATATGAATAATTGCTTGCCAAATATTTGGATTACTAATCGCCAAAATGGTAAAAAGATCTGCACAATTTTAATCATTTATTTTTCTCTGGGAATTTATTTTAAAATTCTGAACGACGAATTTGTGGAGCTCGAAGTTGCCACTTTTTAAAAATGTGCACTCCATATTTTTTTACACATTTTAAAGGAAATCTCAAGTTTAAGAGAAGCCTTCCGAAAAACTATAACAATTCGAAACTGGGTTGAAAATATAATAATTTTCAAATAAATTCCCAGAAGCGAGAAAAATGATTTTTGGCGATGACTCATCGAATTCTATTTTAAAGCCTTTTTAATATTTGATTCAGGAATTCAACAAGAAATCCCCCTCGTAAACCAAGCCTTTGAAACGTTTTCTAATTTACTCCGGATTCGAAATCGAGGAAATGATAATAACGATCTTCTCAAAGACACGATCAAAAACCCGGAGGAAATTTGTAAACAGGAAATGCTTGTAATTTCCGAGATTAAGGATGAACCCTTATCCGACCAGGAATCCGAGACGAATTTCGCAAACGAAATAATTTTAGGTAATGAAATAATCTGAAATAAATTCCATACCAATTCCAATTTCGTTAAGAATTTGATAATCAAATGTTGATTATACGATAAAATATTTAAAGTTATTTACGAGCTACAATTATCTTAAAATTATACAAAATCAGGCATAAAAACAAATCGTAACAGAGAAAGTATTATAATTTAATTTGCAATTTGATCTATTAACCAGAAATTTGCGATGGCGACGATGACGCCATGGACATGGAAACATTCGCCATCGATCCTGTCGACCAAGACGACAATTTTTCTGAATCGGATTCTTCCGATTATTCCCCCTCCTCTCCCGATTCGGAAGATTCCTCCCCAGAAAAATATTTTCCCCGAAAAAACCCGCCCACAAAAATTGACGTCGATGTCAACCCCGACGCCACATCATCAAATCCGTTACAATGTTCCGTCTGTTTTAAAACATTTGCCCAAATTGCGTCAAAAAATCGTCACTTTCGCATCCATCACGACTCCACTTTTACCCCTTTCCCCTGTCCGGGGGAAGATTGTGACCGAGTTTTTACACAATTTTGGCATTTGAAAGAACACGTGGAGAGAATCCATCCGGGCGTTAGTATTCCGCCCAAGGAGAAAATTCGGGGCGATGGAGAAGAATCGGGGGACATTGTCCCGAAAAAAGAACGGATCCCTTGTCCCGTGGAAACTTGCGAAAAATCCTACTCCCGAAATCAAAGGGTCGTCGAACACATGAAAATTGCACATCCCGAGGTCCCCTTGCCCGAAAAGTATGAACGAAATCGGGGGGATACCCGCCAAAATAATCCGGACGGAGAATGGATCCCTTGTCCGGTGGAAAATTGTGGTAAATCATATTCGCGAAATCAAACCATGGTCAAACACATGGAAAGGGCACATCCCGAGGTCCCCTTACCCCCGAACTATACCCCGAGGAGGAAGCCAATTCGGGAAGATGCCCGGCAAATAAATTCGCATGGTGAATCTGTCCCGAAAAAACGGATCCCTTGTCCCGTGGAAGACTGTGATAAGTCATACACCCGAAATGAAAAGGTGATCGACCACGTGACCAGGGCACATCCCGAGGCCCCCGTGCCCCCGAGGATGAGGAGGGTAAACCCTAGGGTTAAGGAAGAGGTTAAAGAAAAACCGATTCGGATTATTAAGAAGAAGATTGTGAGGAGGAAACCGTGTCCCGTTTGTGGAAAAGAGATCAGATCGACGGGTTTGAGCGAGCATTTGAGATCACATGCGGGCGAGGTTAATAGAAATATATACATGCTTTTTTTAGGAAATTCACGTCACGTTTAGTTTTGTAATTTTCAATTCATACGGAGATTGTTTTTTGTATTGTAAAATTCTTTTAAACTTGTATGCAAGTATTAGTTATTTTGGAAAATTATATTTCCAATTTTTATAAGCTTCCGGATTTTACAAGGTTACCAAAGCCTGGGTGAATTGGTTGGTGAATTTTTGTTATAATGTATAAAGTCCCTGTTTTGTTCACTTCAGTAAATTTCTGAAACTTGTAACGATTACAAAGGTTACAACTTTATTGTGTTAAAATAATATTGTTTTTTTCGACGAATTATTTTACAAACATTTTACACCGTTTACAAACCTTCACGTTAATAATTTTTTCACATATAAAAAATTTGACCCATATTTTAATTTTTTCAGAAAAACCACCTTTGCACGAAATGCGGAAAACTGTTCCGAACAGTGCGAAGCGCTCGACAACACGACGCCGAGGTGCACATCAGGGAACGAAATTACATTTGCGCCACGTGTGGAGCGTCCTTCATCCGGAAGCAGGTTCACGATAACCACGTCGCGACCATTCACGAGCGGCCAGAAGATCTCCGATTTTCCTGCGACACGTGCGGAAAGGCTTATCGACACGAGAAAAGTTTAAAGGAACACGTGCAAATGCACACGAGCAAAAATTTGGAGTGTCCCATTTGTTCGAAAGTCTTTAACCGGAAGGAAAATGTGAGGCTCCATTTGAGAAGGGTGCACGGAGGGGAGAAGCTTATCAGGAAAAGGGGAAATAAGACGAGGGGAACAGGAGAAGATATTGAGGAACAGGATGTGGATGAAAGTGCTTATCATCAAGGCGAAGAACCACTACCTTATCAAAGTACTAGTCACGATTTGAAATAATTTTATACCGGAAATTTGTAATAATTAGTTACTCATAAGTAATTTATTTTGTTGTGGTTTCACATATTTTTGCTCTGACTGCGACGAAAAATTTGGATTTTACATATATATTTTTTCTTAAACAATAAATAATTTGGTAATTTAACCATTTACATATGTACGTACATTGATTTTGATTTTGATTTTGTGAATACATACTTAAAAATAATGTCACCCTTTTGAACTGTGAATGCACCCTCAATTTTATGCTGCACGGAGCTTTGGGGGGACAGCAGAAAATATTATAGGAGAGGAAAGTGCTTATCATCATAGCTTATCAAAGTGTTAGGCAGGATTTAAACTGTTTTATACATGAGCTAAAAATCGCGTAATTTAAATTTAAATTTTCGTTTAATTCCTGGTCTGATTTTCATGTGAATATTAGGGTTTACACATTGCAATAAATTGTTAAATAATTTATCTAAGCTTCGTTTTTAATTACGTTAAACGTCAGAATTACAGAAAATTAGACAAGTCATGAAGTTAATTTGGGCAATTATTTTAGAAAATATTGCATAACATAATGTTATCAAATATTTTCTAATGTGTAAATTGTGTATGTAGTTAATGTTATTACATAACATTAATTTTCTAGTGTATTCATTTATTTACTACTTAAATTAAAATTTATGTATGGTGACTCGTTCGCAGAAGCTTCTAAAAATCCATATCCTAAAAATTATTCACTACATAATTTCCACCGTAATTCACAAAGTTTAAGTTCACGCGAAGGGGGAAAATACACCGATTAAAATTCAAACTTAATACAATACTTTAAAAAACATTGATTATTTATGTATTTAGCAACAATTCACTGATAAATTTTCGGTCCCCAAAAGAAAGCAAGTTTCAACTATTTCAGTCACAAAGGGGTTAAACAAAGAATAGGAATTTCAAAATTACTTATCAAGGATTTTAAGTACATTTCGAATTTAAAGGATTATTATTATGCAAATTAATCAACCAAGCTCATTTTTTTCATGCAGTTTTCCATGAAAAATTTTCATGCGACGAGCTTGAGAAAACAAAGTCCACGGCGCGATTCATTTTGCAACTATTTAATTTCATATCATCAGATGTCTTGAGGTTTTCGTAAATATTTACGAAAGTTATTGGTGATAAATTATTACCAAGTTTTTATCCTTCACAAAAGAAGTTAAGCTTCATTAAGTAAGTGCAATTTTATTAAATATGTGTATTATTTCATATTTAATACAAACTTGGAAATATTCAATCTTTACACTTTAGGAAACATTGGGGGGAAGAAAAAATGAAATTTTATCAATAAAATTCAATTTTACAGAAATTACGGATTTTGCAAAGTTATTAAGGACTGCGCGCATTGCGTCGGTACATATCTAAGAATAATTTACAGTTTCTGAAAAAAATTGATAATTTTTTTTGTGATTAATTAATAACCATAATTTCAGGATACTCAGTAGGGATCAACATTTGACCTGACATGACCTCACTAATCATGGAAACGTGCACATTTTGCGGAGGTCATGACCCCTGCGTCGTCCCTTCCCCGGAAAACGGGGCGCTTTCGTCCTACTCAGCCTCCTGCGTGACCTCTCTGCTCACCGTGTTCCACATCGACGCCGCGGACCCCGTCGCCGCGCACCTCGCCACGGCCGCGCTCACCTGCGCGGACTGTCTCCAACTCACGCGCGACATCGACTTCGAGTTAAGATCGCTGCTCAAATTCCTCAAAAATCTAGACCTTCTTCGATCCCGGTTGGCCAGGAGGGTCAAACGCGCCGCGGCCGCGGATGCGACGACAAATTCTACATTTTCTGCGACCCGTGACCTCAACCAAAGTATGTACACAAGTTTTTATATTTAAATGCAGCTTAATTTTTGCCAAGTATTTAACGTAATTATTTGCGAGTGTTTAACTTTGGACTGGATGGCTCGTCGCCAAAACGAGAAAATTTTAAATCATTTCTCCGTTCCGGGAATTTATTTTAAAATTCTGGGCGACAAATTTATAGACCAAGTCGTTGCCAATTTTTTATGAGATTTTAAGTCAAGAAAAAAACAAAGTTCATAAAAATTAGAATAGGCTTAAAAAGTTCCCCTCATTTTGTAAATAAATACATATTGGTCGTCCAGAATTTTAGAATAAATTCCCAGAAGAGAGAAATGGTTAAAAACGTGCCGATTTTGGCGTTGTGTCATCGGGTCCTAGGATAAATCACTTTTAATATTTGATTCAGGAATTCAGCAAGAAATCCCCCTCGTTAACCAGGCTTTTGAAACGTTGTCTAATTTACTCCGGATTCGAAAACACGGAAACAACAATAACGAGCTTCACAACAAGGCGATCAAGAACTCGGAGGAAATTTGTAAACAGGAAATGCTCATCAAGGACAAAGCCTTATCCGACCAGGAATCCGAGTCGAATTTCGCAAACGAAATAGTTTTAGGTAATCTTGATTCCGATAAAAAAATTTGACATCTTCAAAATTCACGCCATAACTTACGCCATACTTAAACCACAATTATCTTAAAATTTGTTGGTATGCGGTAAAATCAGGCATACAAATCGCGCAGATAAAGTGTTATAATTTTGTTAATTTAGTTATAGTGTTATAATTTAATTTGCAATTTGATCGTGATTTGCAATTTTCAATTAGAAGTTTGCGATGGCGACGATGACGCCATGGACATGGACATGGACACCTTTGCCATTGATCCTGTCGACCAGGATGACTCGGATTCTTCCGATTATTCGCCCTCCTCCCCCGATTCGGAAGATTCCTCCCAAGAAAAATACGATTATCCGCCCAATTCCGCCCCCGCCGAAAAAAGGGACTGCGACGACGCCAATCCTCCAAGCATTTGAAAGAACACGTGGAGAGAGTTCATCCAGGCGTTAAAGAGAAAATTCGGGTCGATCTGGAAAATGCCCCGAAAAAAGAACGGATCCCTTGTCCCGTGGAAACTTGCGAAAAATCCTACTCGCGAAATCAAACGATGGTCGAACACTTTAAAATTGCACATTCCGATCTCCCCTTGCCCCCCAAGTATGCACCACGATCCAGAAATCGGGGGGAATTAGACCCCTTGGGGGATGAATGGTTCCCTTGTCCGGTGGAAAATTGTGGGAAATCGTACGCGAGAAATCAAACGATGGTCGAACACATGAAAATTGCACATCCCGAGGTCTCCTTGCCCCCAAGTTATGCCCCAAGGAGGAAACGAATTCGGGGAAACGCCCGACAAAAAAGATCGGATCTTGTCCCCAAAAAACGGATCCCTTGTCCCGTGGAGGACTGTGATAAGTCGTACACCCGAAATGAAAAGCTGATCTACCACGTGACCAGGGCACATCCCGAAGCCCCCGTGCCCCCAAGGAAGAAGAGACTAAACCCGGGGGTTAAAGAAGAGGTTAAAGAAAAACGGATCCGAATTATTAGGAAGAAGATTGTGAGGAGGAAACCGTGCCCCGTTTGTGGAAAGGAGATCAGTTCGACGAGTTTAAGCGAGCACTTGAGAGCACATGCGGGCGAGGTTAGACATTTTTTTAGGAAATTCACGTCAAGCTTTGTAATCTTAATGTCTTATTGAGTTATGAATTCATACGCAGATATTTTGTGTTTGTAAAATTTTATCAGTTACAAAATTAAAGCATTTTCATTTTCGCAATTTTGTAAGCGAAATTGGTGATTTCAAAATTTCGAAGGGATACTTTAAATATTAAGAAAATTAAGGAAATAAGTTGCGAAATCCGTTGTAATTTTTTTACAAATATTTAAAACATAGAGACGCTTTTGATATTTTATAAATTTTCCGCATTTTGTTCGCCTCTGAAAATTTCTCTTTGTAACGATTACAAAGGTTACAAGTGTATTGTTTTTTTTCAGTCAAATCATTTTACAAAGTTTACAAACCTTCACGTTAAGTAACTTTTTCCATGTAAAAAAAATAAAATACATCCACATTTTCTTCTTTTTTAGAGAAACCACCTCTGCACGAAATGCGGAAAACTGTTCCGAACGGCACGAAGCCTGCGCCTGCACGACGCCTCCGTCCACATTAAGGAACGAAACTTGATCTGTGCCATTTGTGGAGTGTCCTTCATCCGGAAGCAGGTTCTCGATAAGCACGTGGCTTCGATTCACGAGCGCCCGGCCGACCTCCGATTTTCCTGCGACACGTGCGGAAAGACTTATCGGCACGAGAAAAATTTAAAGGAACATTTGCCCATGCACACCGGCAAAGATTTGGAGTGTCCGATATGTTCGAAAGTCTTTAACCGGAAGCAAAATGTGAGGCTCCATTTGAGAAGGGTGCACCGAGGGGAGAAGCTTATCAGGAAAAAGAGAAAGCCGAGGGGGACAAAAGAGGACCAGGATGTGGAGGAGGAGAGTGCTTATCATCTGGGCGAACCTTATCAAAACGTTAGTCATGATTTCAAACCGTTGTATGCCGGAGGGTTGCAATAATCACGGATTATTAATCAGCTAAATAAATAATCAAGTAATTTTTTAAATTATAGTTTGACTTGGATGAAAAGTTAGGGTATGAATAAATGTAAATTTACATACCTATTATTTTCAATAAATAATTACGTACATACATATTTTATGTAAGCTTGAAATCCTATTTTTTCAACAAAGGAATTACAAAAATAAATGAGACATGACATTAAATCAGTTAATTTAAGCATTTGTTTTACAAAATATTTGATAACATTGCACAATTAAATAATTTCCTAATTAAATAATTAAAGAAAGCAAGTTTCAACTATTTCATTCACAAAGGGGTAAAACAAAAAATTGAAACTTGAAAAAAATTGTATTTTAAGTATTTCGAATTTAAAGGATTATTCTTATGCAAATTCTTCAACCAAGCTCATTTTCATGCAGTTTTCCATGAAAAATTTTCATGTGACAAGTTTGAGAAAACAAAGTCCACGGCGCGATTCATTTTGCAACTAACATCAGATGTTTTGAGGTTTTCATAAATATTTACGAAAGTTATTGGTGATAAATTATTACCAAGTTTTTATCCTTCACAAAAGAAGTTAAGCTTAATTAAGTAAGTGCAATTTTATTAAATATGGATATTATTTCATATTTAATACAAACTAGGAAATACTCAATGTTTAGTAAAGCTTAGGAAACATTGGGGGGAAGAAAAAATTAAATTTTATCAAGTCGGTAGTATCAATAAAAATCAATTTTACAGAAATTACCGATTTTGCAAGGTTATCAAGAACTGCGTCGCTTGCATTTAAGAGAAATTTACAGTTTCTGAAAAAAATGATCAGCTTTTTTGCGATTTAATCGCAAATATTATTATTAATTAATAATCATAATTTCAGGATACTCAGTAAGGAGGGATCAACATTTGACCTGACGTGACCTCACTAATCATGGAAACGTGCACATTTTGCGGAGGTCATGACCCCTGCGTCGTCCCTTCCCCGGAAAACGGGGCCCTTTTGTCCTACTCAGCCTCCTGCGTGACCTCTCTGCTCACCGTGTTCCACATCGACGGCGCCGACCCCGTCGTGGCGCACCTCGCCACGGGCGCCCTCACCTGCGCGGACTGTCTCCAACTCACGCGCGACATCGACTTGGAGTTAAGGTCGCTGCTCAAATTCCTCAAAAATCTGGACCTTCTTCGATCCCGGTTGGCGAGGAGGGTCAAGCGCGCCGCGGCCGCGGATGCGACGGCAAATTCTCCATTTTCCGCGACCCGTTACCTCAACGAAAGTATGTACATACATATATAATTTTTTATAGTTAAATACGTGCAACTGATTTTTCAGGTATTTTTATTTGCAAAATATTTTACATGCAACTGGAAGACTCATTCATCGCCTCAGAAAAAAATCAGCACATTTTTATTCATTTCTTGGCTCCGCGAATGTAAATGTTTTCAAATTCTAGGCGACAAATTTGTAGATCAATTTTCGTTCCCAATTTTCTAAAAATATACACTCGAGATTTTGACATTTTTTGAAAGAGGAATCATAAAGTTTTAGGAAGCCTTCAGAAAAATTGATACTTGGACTAAACCCACTAACTATAACTTATTGACCACAAATTTGTGGTCCAGAATTTTAAAATAAATTCCCAGAAAGGAAAAGTTAATAAAAAATGTGCAGTTTTTTTTTGTCATGACTCATTAATTAAGCTACATACATAAATCACTTTTACCATTTGACTCAGGAATTCAGCAAGAAATACCCCTCGTTAACCAAGCTTTTGAAACGTTCTGGAATTTACTCCGGATTAAAAAACGTGCCGATGATAACAAAAACCCGGAGGAAATTTGTAAACAGGATATCCTCATCAAGGACGAAGCCTTATCCGACCAGGAATCCGAGACGAATCTCGCAAACGAAATAGTTTTAGGTAATCTTGATCCCGACAAAAAAATATTTTAAAATTTAAATACTAAATCAGGCGTATAAATCGTAACGGGCGAGAAAGTAAGTATTATATGTACATAATTTAATTAATAATTTGATCTCTCTAGAAGTTGGCGATGGCGACAAAGACGCCACATTCACCCTCGATCCTGTCGACAAAGACGCCACATTCGCCCTCGATCCTGTCGACGAAGACGACTTTTCTGATTCGGATTCTTCCAATTATTCGCCCTCCTCTCGCGATTCCTCCCCAGAAATAGACGATTCTTTGTCTAATCCGCCCCCAAAAAAGGACGCCACATCCTCCAATTCTTTACAATGTCCCGTCTGTTTCAAAACATTTGCCAAGATTGCGTCAAAAAATCGTCACTTTCGATACCATCACGACCCCACTTTTACCCCTTTCCCCTGTCCGGGGGAGGGTTGTGACCGGGTTTTTGCACAATCTTGGCATTTAAAAGTCCACGTGGAGAGAGCTCATCCGGGCGTTAGTTTTCCGCCCAGAAAGAAAATTCGGGTAGAAGGGGACATTGTCCCGAAAAAAGAACGGATCCCTTGCCCCGTGGAAAGCTGTGATAAATCCTACGCACGAACTCAAGGGATGGTCGTACACATGAAAGTTGCACATCCTGAGGTCCCCTTACCCGCAAACTATACCCCAAAGAGCAGGAGGATAAGAATAAACCCGGGAGTTAAAGAAGAGGTTGCAGAAAAACTGATCCGAATTTTTAAGAAGAGGATTCTGCGAAGGAAACCGTGTCCCGTTTGTGGAAAGGAGGTCGGATCGAGCAGTTTTTCCGAGCACTTGAGAGGCCATGCGGGCGAGGTGAACTCATTTTTTTAGAAAATTCACGTCAAGCTTTGTAATCTTAATAATATGCAGATTAGTTTTTTGTAAAATTTCCCCAGTTAAAAAATAATTTACAGCTTTTTTTAGCAATTTTGTAACCGAAATTGATAATTTACTGTTAGAAATGTAAAATTATAGTTAGTTTGAAAAATTAGCTTTCGAATTTTTATAAGTTTCCCGGATTTTACAAGGTTACCTAAGGTTAAAAGTTTTACACGGTTTACAACCCTACACGTTAATAATTTCTCCATAAAAAAAATTCGATACACATTTTTATTTTCATATTTTTTTTAGAAAAACCATCTCTGCACGAAATGCGGAAAACTGTTCCGAAACGCGAGAAACCTGCGCCTGCACGACGCCTCCGTCCACATTAAAGAACGAAACTTCATCTGCGCCATTTGTGGAGCGTCCTTCTTCCGGAAGGAGGTTCTCGATAACCACGTCGCGACCATTCACGAGCGCCCGGCCGACCTCCGATTTTCCTGCGACACTTGCGGAAAGGCTTATCGACACGAGAAAAGTTTAAAGGAGCACGTGCAAATGCACACCGGCAAAAATTTGGAGTGTCCCATTTGTTCGAAAGTCTTTAACAGGAAGGAAAATGTGAGGCTCCATTTGAGAACGGTGCACGGAGGGGAGAAGCTTATCAGGAACAGGAAAAAGACGAGGGGACTAGAAGTAGAATATAGAGGAGAATAGGGCTTATCATCAAGGTGATTATTAGATATTACCTTATCAAAGTGCTAGTCACGATTTCATACAGGAAGGTTGCAATAATTGGTTAATTGTGTACATAATTTAAATTTAAATTATGGTTTAATTCCTCTGATTAAAAATTGGCTGAACGTTTCAAAGTTTCAATGAATAATGTATCTACGCCTCGTTTTGTACTTTTTTAACTTATAAATTACAGAAAATTTAAAATGGTATTAAATCAAGTAAATTTAGGCAGTTATTTTAGAAAATATTTCATTAATTGCACAAATTGTTAAATGATTTAATGTACATATTTATTGACTACTTTAATTGAAATTTATATTTACGTTACGTACTCGCAGAAGTTTCTAAAAATCCATAGTCTAAAAATTCTTCACACCACACATAACTTCCATCGTATGTACCTTTCAAAATTTAAGTTCAACGTTCATGCCACAAGAAAAACGCACATCGACTAAAATTCAACTACTAAATAAACATTATACATAAGTTAATAAAATTCTAAAATTAAAAAAAACATGAAGGATTTTATTTTTAATAAATTTATATCTAAATAAAAAACGACAAAGTTTACTCGTAGAAACCCATTAAGTTTTTGTAGGATTAGGCCTCCATCCATCACAACTGCAAAAAAAAGAAAATTAAATATTTTTCTAGTACTAGTAAATGAGGATAATAAAGGCTATTATTATTATTTCCCCCGATTTTTTTTCTTAACTCTTAAAAATAATGTAGCCCTTTTGAAAAAGAAATTCAGTCTAATAAATTACCAAGTAAACTATGCAAAATCCACCAGCGTAAACTTTTCTCTCTATAAAGTCAACGTTACCCTGGATTTCGCGTAGTTTTTGTTCATAATTTAGAATTCAGACTGCATCTCCTTTTCAAAAAGGGGCCCATTATTTTTTCGAAATATAAAAATTTTTCTCACATCAACTAAATTCCCCACCCTCCCCTCCGCCGCCTTCCCCCCACTCTTCCTTCTCGGTCCCCCCGCACAATAATAATTTTCATGCTGCCTTATATTATTCGACGTTTTAAACCGCTTCCCACAATATTGACAAGCATGCTGCAACGTGCCCACGTGCGTTTCCTCGTGCCTGTAGAGCTGACTATTCGTCTTAAACCTCTTCCCACAAAGGCGACACTCCGTCTTCAGCAGGTCCTCCCCCTCCACGTGCTCCCTGCTGTGTAATCTGAGCCCCTTCTGATACGTAAAACTTTTTCCGCAAACTTCGCACACGAACTGCTTCGTGGTCGCGTGTTTGCCCATGTGCACGGCCAGCACGGCTTTGGACATGCACCGCAACCCGCAAACGGTGCACTCATGCCCGACAAAGGAGTCCGAGTGGATCTTCTGGTGCACGAGGAGGGAGGCATGGCGGGAAAAGAGGGCGCCACACGTGCCACAGGGGAGCGACCGTTTCCCCATTTTGTGCACGGTGGAAAGGTGCGTCTTGAGCTGGGAGGAGTTTGAAAGCACCGCGTCGCACAGGGTGCACTGGAACGGGGTGGGGTTGGTGAGATGGGTGGCGATGTGGGTGTCCAGGTCGGGTTGCGAGGGGAAGGGGAGGGCGCAGATGGAGCAGGTGAAGGGCGAAGGCGTGTTCGTGGTGGGGTGGACGAGGTACACGTGCTTTTCGAGGGAGAGGAGGGTCGAGTAGGTTTTGAGGCAGGTGGGACACGTGTGGGGTTTGGGTTTAGGGGAGGGTTTGGGTTTTTTAGGGGGTTTTGAGGAGAGAGTGCGGCGAGGTTTTCGGGGGGATTTGGTGGGGGTGGAGAGATCTGGAAATAAACAAGTAAATATTTCTTTAAGGTTTGTTCAACGTGAAGGACACGCACGTTGTCGTGTAAAATCGTGTAAAAAATTAGCACATTCTAAGTCATTTCTCAGCTCTGGGAATTTATTTAAAAATTCTGGATGACAATTTTTTAGAGCAGGTAGTTCTAAATTTTTTGAAAATGTAGATGTTGACAACTTTTCAAGTAGGAGATTTCAAGTTTAGATTCCTTCAGAAAAATTGGAACTCGTGAAAACTGGGTCAGTTTCGAGTTTTGTTTAAGCAGTTTAACTGGTTTAAACAACTCAGCGCCATTCCATAAATAACTCACTGACTGCAAATTTGTCGTCCAGAAATTTAAAATAAATTCCCAGATGTGAAAAACGATTAAAAATGTGCTTATTTTAACGTTTTATAATAATTTGGAAAAATGTGGAAACCTCTCTTTTTCCGTTGCTTTTTCGGCTGCTCTTCACCTTCCCACTCGGGATCGGAATCTGACGAGATTTCACCCGGGTTGAAATCATCACCCGCATTTTCAGAGGATTCTTCTTCCTGGTCCGAATCGGGGGGAATGAAATCATCCAAACTTAAGTTATCGGGGAGATTGGTTATCATTTCGTGGCTGACGTTCGTCTCGGATTCCTGGTCGGACAAGGGTTCGTCCTTAATTTCGGGCAACACGAGCATTTCCTGTTTACAAATTGTCTCCGGGCTTTTGATCGTGGTGGCGAACTCGACTTTGCAATTCTCTCCCCGCTTCTTGTGGGGCTCGTTATTGGCACGTTTTTTAATCCGGAGTAGATTAGAGAACGTTTCAAAAGCTTGGTTAACGAGGGGAATTTCTTGCTGAATTCCTGGAAAAAATATAAAAAAGTGATTTAAATTTTGACCAAAAAATGGCAAATTTATTGCTGAATTCCTACACAGAAATATAAAATGTATTAAAAGTGATTTAAATTTTGAGCAAGAATGGTTTAATTTTCATTTACGACATATGTAATTCTTTTGAAAAGTATTTAACGCCAAAATATATGCACATTTTTAATCATTTCTATCCTTTGGGAATTTTTTTTTAATTCTGAACGACAAATTTGTAGAGCAGGTCGTTCCCAATTTGCACTCAAGATTTTGACACATTTTCAAGGAAGAGATAGCAATTTTAGGAAACCTTCAAAAAAATTAAAACTGGCTCAAAACACCCACCGTCACTCCATTAATCGATTTATTGACGGAAAAGTTGTCATCCGGAATTATAAAATAAATTCCCAGAACAGAATTAAGATGAAAAATGTGCGAATTTTGACGATTTTGGAGTCATCCTCATCAGCTCAAAATACTTACTCTCGTTGAGGTCACGGGTCGCGGAAGATTTAGACTTTTTCGCCGCGCGTTTGACCCTCCTGGCCAACCGGGATCGGAGAAGGTCCAGATTTTTGAGGAATTTGAGCAGCGATCTTAACTCCAAGTCGATGTCGCGCGTGAGTTGGAGGCAGTCCGCGCAAGTGAGCGCGGCCGTCGCGAGGTGTGCGGCGACGGGGTCGGCGGCGTCGATGTGGAACACGGTGAGCAGAGAGGTCACGCAGGAGGCCGAGTAGGACGAAAGAGCCCCGTTTTCCGGGGAAGGGACGACGCAGGGGTCATGACCTCCGCAAAATGTGCACGTTTCCATGATTAGCGAGGTCAAGTCAGGTCAAATGACGGATTCCCTAAATTTAATTAGTAAATATTTTATTCAATGTTTCAAAATGATGGCAATCTCTCGTAAATATGTATCACGCAGTCCTTGGCAATTTGTAAAATTTGTAAATTATCTAAAGTTTTACGAAATTTTACAAAAGTAGTATACACATTTTTGTAAACTTTACTATTAGTCAGGTCGCCGGCGTCTCTAGATTTTGTAAAAGTTTGTAACATCGTTTTACACATTTTGTAAAGTTGCGAATGACCACGTGAATGAATTGCCTCATTATTACATGAAAAAGGCTTATCTCCACTTCTGAAAAAACTTTTACTAACAGAATTGTTTAAGGTGTTTAATTAAAATAAAATTTTGATGAGTAAAAATATCCAAAATTTTCACTTTTTCTTTTCCCCAATGTTTCTTGAATATTGAATAAATATTTCCAACTATATAGTAAAAATGAATTAATACATTATGCAAATTGTACTTAGGTACGCTTAACTTTACCTGAATAGGATGAAATTGGTAATAATTTATGACCAGCAAATTTCGTAAAAACCTTTAAATATCAGAACATCTGATGAGTTGAGTGAAAGTTGAAAAATAAATGGATCGCGCCGTCGACTTTGTTTCTCAAGCTGGTCGTCCAACGCATGAAAACTTTTCATGCAGAAAAAACTATGCAAATTTTTCGTTAGAAACCTAAATAAACCTAAATATTAAGTTTCTATGTTAGAATAGAAACCCATTTTTTCGTTAATAAAACTGCATGCAAATTTTAAATTTGCATGCATTTTTTTTACAGTTTTAAAAATTTATAATTTATAATAAAAAACTGCTTCCATGAAAAAAACTACGAGAAAAAATATGAGAAAAATTGCATGCAAACTTTTCATGAAAAAAAACGGATGAAAGGTTTTTTTTACTCCTGATGAGAGGGCTTATAAATTTGCATGGTAATTCTTATAATGGAAATTTGCTAAAGTGAAAGCGATAGAGATTTTGACGAGCAGACATGGGTGTCGTTATTTATTAAAAATCCTTCATGTTTTTTATTGAAATTTTATCCATAAAATTTGTACTTGAAGCAGACTTGTTCAATTTTATAATGTTTACGGATCACTCTTTCTGCGCAGGATAAGTTTTCCAACAAAATTGCCGAGTTATTATTTTCACGTAGATATAGAAATGCATGAACAAAACGCATATTTTTATTTTGCAATATTTAATTTACCTATAGTACTCTCTTACAATGAGGAGGAGCTCCTTTTTATTCCTTACTTACATATGTACAGCATCATCACAACTCTTAAGTTCTGAAAATAAGATAACCTGAAAATTATTTATGTAACGGCTCAAAGTGTTACCTTGTTTAAAACATTAAAAATTAACTACTCTATTTGGAAACTTGGACATTTTTTTCACAAATTGGCTTCCGCATCATAATCGTAAGGTAAATGTAGCTTTGTTTAACACTTTTTAGGACGATTTTGGAACTTAAAGTTGATTTACTGCAAACTAATTACACACATAAAGACACACGTAAAAATAATGTGTATATAGTGGCTCACTCCGTACATAATGTGAAGATACCTATGTACACAGGCCAAATTAGGGTTGTGGGAGTAACCAGAATCATAGACAAATTAAGTATTGCTGCAAATTACTTATCTAATGATAAGCGTCACAATTGAATTCTGATGCTGCAAGTTTGCCTTGTATTTGTTTACTTGGATGAGTTATTATTTAGTCTTACTTTGTGCATCGGTGTATTTACACATTCCTAAAAGTAACACATACCTATTTACATATTCTTCTTCAAAATAGTAAAATGGGTGATCGTAACGTGCAAATTGGTCCACACTACCACCGTCCCTCGAAGCAAGAGGTATTGGCAATTTTGGTGAATGTCGAGAACCGGATACGATACTGGTCCAGATGCAGCAGGATGGAATTGGAATTTGGGATGAGGGATAATTCTCCTTACTTGGCAGGAAAGAAGGCATCCTGGGCGAGAAAGGTGATGCAAATTAAGTCATAATTTTGGCCATATTTTCCAGATTTTTTTTTCTAAAAATGCAGAAAACTTTTAAAGTGGAGAAAACTTTTTTTTTATTATTCTTTTTTCACTCGCAATATGAATAAAGCAGCACATTTAACGAGTGCTGAAAATGATTTGTGAAAAACTGAAATCAGATAATTGATCGAAATTCGTTAAATCAAATTCAATAAGACATGGTTAATTAAGTATATTAAATATGCATATATTATTTTGTATACAGAGGAAAGTGGTGAGTCAAAGTTGCAAATATTGTTTAGCACAAGAAAATTGAAACAAAGTAATAAAAAATAAGTGCGTCATAAAAACCTGCATAATTGCCAAGTCGAGGTTTTAGTCCAGTCCACAAGAAAGTTTACGCTGTCACGAAATCATACTTGATGGTCGCGTTGTGCTGGAAAATTTCTGAGCTAAGCCCAGCGTGGTTTAAACATCACGCTACAATGTAAAATTTTGCAAATGAAGAAGTCCATAAATCTCCTTCGGTTACAAGGGTTTTGGATTGAGATTTTTGTTAATTATTCAACTCTAATATTAAAATTGGTCATAGAATTCTTAAAAAAATGTTAAATTTCAGAGGCAAAATTTGGATGACTAATGAAAATTTATCAATTTTATTTACAAATTTTTCTGATTGGAAAATTTTCTATTGTAAGGTGTCATATAAACGACCCTGTACAGAAATATTTTGAGCATGTATGAGGACGATTATGCATGATTTTATCGGTATTTTCAGTTCACAAATTCAGTTTCATTTCATGCTTCTTGATTTTGTGTGTAAACCCAATACACACAAATTTGTATGGGGCCGTTCATAAATTATGTAACGCGATAGAGGGGAATGAAACGTTCACAGGATGTCGTGCATATGCGGCACCGTGTAAAACAATTATAATTGTGAAATTTTTGATAAAACAATCCGAACATTAAAAACATGGAGAGAATGAGTATATTGGGTGAAAGTTGCATGAATCTTTAAATGAATAATAGTGTTTAAAACAAACTTTGTCTGCATTTGAATGTCCCGATTATACGCATGCTCATCAGCACTAATCCGTAAAATAAATTACTAAATAAACAAAATTTAAACACTTCCAGGCCCTCGTTGTAGCAGGCCAGACACTTATCTTCCTGTACCTCATGGTAAATCTTATCTACTCCCACGTCTGGCGAGATGACGGCACCTTCAATCCCCTTCAGGCCACAAGGGCATGCTTAGTAACGGCTTGGACACTTCTCAACGTCTGGAACCTCCACCAAGCTGAGGTCGCGTATCTGGACATCCTGAAACTCTTCTGGACCAACGACTGCTTTGGCGGAGTCAAAATGATGTCGTTGGTATGTATGCAAATTGTGGGGGGAAACCTGATAATATGACAACCATAATTATTAAAATTTTCCCTTATCCACATTTCTTATTTCAGGGATTAGCAGCAACAGTTCTCATCAATCTTTTCGTCCTTTTGTACTCCATAATTTTTCATTTCACTGTGGACTTGACTGTCTTTGACGAAATAAGCTATTCCTACTTCGAGTACAATGCCCAGATTGTATATGCTCGCATATGTCGAGCTTCTCAGAAACATCTTTGTCCGAACTTTGCAACTACGATAGGAAAATTGTTCTCAGGTCCTTGCTGTATCTTCATGTTGTATGTACTCCTATTCAAAAAGTTGCAGCAGCAACTGTTTCCTTTTCAACTGATCGTGAAGAACTACACAGCACTGTATACTTTGTCGCAAAAAATTAGAAACAGTTTGAAGCCAGGATGCACAGAATTGGACAGACTGCGAGTACTTGACAGTATTTTGAAGATGAGACGCTTAACTTCAAAAATAAATAATAACTTTTCCACACAAATTACGCTCTTTCTCACGATCAGTCTTCTCGAATCAATTCAACTATACTCTACTTATTTAATGGGAGGCGACACTTACGACATTTCGGACTATTTAGGTACTTTCAACACCTTAATTTTCTTAGCTTCCCTGGCTTTACCAGCGATGATGAATATAGAGGCAAGAGTTCTAATGACGTATTTAAATCTGGAAATACATACATATGTCTAGAATAAAGAATGTTCCAATTTCCTTAGTGGATTCTCCTCAAGGGATTTATCTTAGATCAGGAATCCGCTACTTTGATGCAAAATCCTGGGCAGCCCATATTTCCGAAAAATTATGGCTACACCACTTTTCGTGAGGAACTTATGCACATAAATATTGTAACTTACTTAGCTGGCCGATTTCCAGTTACGTGGATGAGGATTATAAGCGTAAGAACAAGTATTTATTTAACTTCAATTTGTAGTGGAAATAATGTGAATTGTATTTACATATTTTATTAGGTCCTCTGCCTCGTAATTATTCCGCGGTTTATTAACTTTTTTACGTGAACGGACCAGTATCACTGCCTCAATTATGGAACAATACAGAAAATGGGACAGAAAAAATTGTCATGTGAGCCATCCATAATTTTGGAAATTTACCAAGCGATTAATTAAGTACGCACTCTCTGAAATATCAAACGAACCGTATTTGTTAATGGTTTTAAATATTCTACATTTCTGACCATCTACTTTATCCATTCGCGTATAAACCTACCTTAGTTTGACCTACGTGTTGTTGCTTTTCAATAAAAATGATTTAACAGAATGGCCAAAAGCCAAAAATGTTTCCGCATAAATATTGCTATTCCATAAAACATGAACAGCTGCATAATAGATTTGAGGCGATAATAATTCATAAATTTTTTGTATGCATAACACATCCTGATTAAGTCAGATTATGTACAAATGATTTATTTTGTTGTCATGTTGTCAATTTTTAAAAAAAGATTTAGCCAGATCAACATTTCAATGGAGTTTCGGTTTTCGGCACTAGACGACCGTGCGTAAATGATGTCATAAATTTTTGAGTAATATAAATTTGGAGTCCAATTATGTATCAAGTTTGCTTTCATTTCCTACATCCTCCCTTATCCCCTGAGCAGCCGGCTGTCCGCCGGAAGCGGGAGTTGACAGCGGCAGGTTCTGCCATCACACCTTCAGCGGCACCCTCACCCACTGCGCCTGTAAAAAATGACATACTTTCTGACAAACTTTATGCATGATCCCCACACCCAACATTTAAATCAGAAGATTAAAAAAAACGAAACGACTTGAACCGGTTTTTGAAACTTATTTTACACCACATTAAAAAATATGTATACATACATATTTCTCATCTTGTCATACAGAATAATTAATCACAAAAAATCATAGGTATTTATTTACCGGCTGGAAAACAATTTTCGCAAAAAAACGAAATTTAAAACCGGTTTTCGATTTACAAAAAAAAACGATTTTGGATGCCCGCCCTATGTACACTCACCCAGTTCAGGTTGCGGGACAGCGGCAATCTCACCGACGACAGCCAACATGACGAAGACCACGACCACGATGACGCCAACCTTGGACTTATTCATTTCTGTGGGAATAAATTGAAAAGATTTTTAAAGATTTTTAGAAATTTTGGAAATTTATCTACATGCGTATATTTCTTCTACTTACTATCTCAGACGGGAAGAAAGTTGTTGCTGTTTCTGGTCTTATTCTTTTCAAAAAGTTGTGCCCTTTACACCGATCGGATTTCGTTTTATACCCCCCGACGACAAGGTTTTCGAGCTGTGGAGACAATCGGGCCATAAATCCTGCAAAAGTTAAGGGTCCATTAAATTGGAAACTTTTGCATTGTTTCTACACATGAGTAATGTGACGTGCACGCTAAAAAATGCGGTTATGATATGACATGACTCCACCGTCATTGTTGTGTGCAGAGTATTTAATTAGTCGCATTTCTAATTAAGAGGTAATTGATAATTCGAAGGAAAATAATTTGTTTAATTAATTATTAAACTCATTAAGCCAATTAATTAGTTAATTAATTAAAACATTGACCAATTAATTGGTGACTTTTAGTTATTTGCTAATTAATTAGTAATTAAAATTAGCTTGGGTAATAATAGTCAACGTTAATTAGTAATTAATAATTACTTTAAACGTGCTATTTAATTAGATAATTAATTAGATTGACTAATTAATTAGATAGCCATGGGTTGTTATAAATATGTGAATTTGTCACCGACTGAGCATAAATTTATCACCACCGGTATTTAATTTGTATACTTGGTTAAAATCGTAACCGCATTTTTTAGAGTGTACATATGATTTGCGTATTATTGATGTTGTACATATCCAAGTTATGTAAGGGTCCCTCCATAAATTATGTCACTGAAAAGGGGGAAATGGGTTTAAGGCTCCAATGATATCGTGCTTGTGTTAAAGGGAGGGGAAAGGGGTCTAGAAAATCGCGATTTTTGCGTGGCATAATTAATGCATGTCCCCCACCCGAAAATACGCAGTTTGAAGCATTGTTGTTGGTGTCAATGCCGTAATTAAACTCAACCATGGAAAATTTTAAATCAATAAAGTTTAAACAAATTTGGATACATTTAAATCGCCATTATGTAAATATCAGGGACTCTGCAGAATGAATGTGATAGATTTGAGAAGCGGGTAGGTATCCGGCATATCCTTCCCATGTAAATTATAACATGGGGCGTACCAGGGTTAAATTTAACTTTAATTAAAATTACCCGAAAATTAAGCACATCCTTTATGCACGGCTCTTACCTTGCAAATTACGTAAATTACAATTAGCCCTCGGGTCGAAAGGAATGCCCATAAAAAAATTACGCCTCGACATTTGCAAGTCGTTTTAGCAAACTACTTTTTTTAAGCCTTTTACAAATATGTTAATGATAAAATGGGATCGAAGTTATGTAAATAAGGGTGACAGTTGGAGGATTTTATTTTAATGTAAATTTTATTTTGTTTAATTGAGTAAATAAATAAATTGGAATAGATTTTATTATTTCGTGGTCCAAATTAATCCATAGATTTCCAGCGGAAGCCGGGGGGGGGGGGGCATAAAAATTCTAGGGGAATTGGGGAGGGGTTGGGGAGATGATGGGGAAATGTCCCACACTTCCGCGGACACTGCTCATTTCTTGACTTTAGACACGTTGCTCTTCTTCTTCTTGTATTCTCTAGCTTTTCTCACAACTTTTATGGCTGCTTTCCCGCTCGTTTTTCCGGCTAATTTTCCGCGCTTTTCTCCGGGTGATTTTCTACTCCTTTCTCCAGCTGATTTCCCGCTCTTTTCTCCCCTTGCTTTCCCGCTCTTTTCTTCGATTCCATGAATCCCTCTCATATGTCTCCTGAGATTGTAATTCCTGTTGTATGATTTGGAACAAATGCGACACTGGAAGTCCTTCCCGCTGTTTTCTTCCGCTGCTTTCCCGCTCTTTTCGTCCCCTTCTTTCTCACTCTTTTCTTTCACCGCCCTCCCCCTCTTTTGTCCGCAGTCGTACATTCTTTTCATATGTCGGACGAGGTGCGCCTTCCTTCGGAACGGTTTCGAACATTTGTCACAGTGGAAATCCTTCCCGCCTTTTTCTCCCGCCGCGTCCCCACTCCCATGAATCCGCTTCATATGTCCGGTGAGGTGCGACCTTCTGGGGAAAACTCTGGCGCAAAGGGAACACTGGAAATCTTTGGAGGTGTGCGTGCCCACGTGTTCCTGCAAGCTGCGCAGGCGCCGATACGATTTTCCGCACGTGTCGCAGGAAAACCGGAGGTCTGGCGGGACCTCGTGGCGGAACAGGACGTGCTTATCGAGGCCACTCTTCAGCACGAAGGCCGCCCCGCAGATTGCGCAGGCGTGCTTTTTTTCACGGATGTGGACCACGACGTCGTGGACTCGGAGGTCTCTCGCGGTTCGGAAGAGTTTTCCGCATTTCGTGCAGAGCTGGGTTCTCTGAAGAAAGAAAAAAAAATCGATTTGTAAGGAGCGCAAATATTTGATAAACGCAGGTTTGCATATATTAAAATTTGCAGGTTTGCAACTTTTTGCATGGAAATAAAATTGGGGACATTGAATGGTTAAAATTTATAAAAATTACCAAATTACAAAAATTTATACCAAAAATTTGACAAGTTTCCTGATTTTCTTTATAAAAAGTGCCGTCATTTTTGCAGTAAAATGTAAAATGGGCCATGAAAATCATTTGATTTTGACCTTTGACCTCGTCCTCAAGGTTACCAAAGTGTTGGACGGACGGACAGACAAAACGATCACAATAAATATTTACTTATAAAGTTGGACCATAATTTTATCTACCTCACGATCCGTATGCGAGATTAGGTGCTTCCTCACCGACACGACTTTCTTCCCGCAGACTGGACACGATTTCATGGCTTCCGGTTTAGTCGGAATTTTAGGAAATGGGACGGCCGGATGTGTCCTTCTCATATGGTGGTAAACCCCCGTCCGCTCCACGTACGATTTTCCACACCCCACGACGGGACAATATATCCGGTTTCCGGGGTCAGGAACAAGATCCGCTCTTTTGGGCGGGACCGGAACGCCGGGATGTTTCTTGTCCATGTGGTATTTTAGGGAGAAAAATTGATTGAATTTGTAATTCCCACCGCACGTGGGTACAGGACACGTGTACCGGGTGAAGGCGGGGTCGTGCTCGTGGCGAAAGTGGCGTCGTAGGGAGGGCAGTGTGGATAATTTTTTGGGACAGGCGGAACACTGGAAGGAATGGGATCTTTTAGGTTGGGGGGAGTTTTGTTCAAGGGGTGGAATAGAATGGGGGGATTCGAGGTCATCACCTTCTTGAAAGGGTTGGACAGCAGGGGTGGCGTCCACCAGGTCGAGACCTTGAATTAAAGGGGGGGGGTTAATTTAAATATTAGAAATGCATTAAACCCACGAGAAATGAACAATGGCCGCAGAAGCCGTGGGGACATCATAACGTTGCGGGGAAGGGATTGATATTTATATTTATGACATGGGCAGATGATGAGGACGTAGAATAACCCAAGGCACATTGTCCCCCTCTGTCCCCACGGGTCCGCGGCCACTGGAAACAAGAAAACACTGCTCACCAGTTCCAACGTCCAGATCGCAGTGGACCTCTTCTCTATTTTTAAAATCTGCACATTTCCTTTTTGGAGGACATTCTTCTTCTTCATCGGCGTCACGTGCCTTAATTTTCTGTTTCCGGTTTCTTTTTCGTCCCGGTTTTGAAATGTCTAGGACTTCTGCTATATTTTTAAAATCTGTTGTTTCCGTATTTGCACATTTCTCTTTTGTATGACATTCTTCTGCTTCTTCATCGTCCGAATTGGCGTCCCGGGTGTTAATTTTCTGTTTCCGGTTTCCTTTTTGTCCCGTTTTCGCAATTTCTTCGGTTAACTTGGCCGTGGCAGTGACGCTTTTATTCATCCTTTCCCGGAGGATTTTGATTCGTGTGATGACTTGGTTCCCGTGTTCCCCCAAGGATTGGAACTGCATGGAAATTTTGTAAATTTCTGTGAACATTTTGGCACATGGGGGACAAAGTTCGAGAAGGGGGGAGGACTCGAAGAGGCTCATTCCAGGTTTGTCGTGGAACCCCAACCAGAACAGGGCGAGGGAGAAGAGGGCGTCGGAAATGGGAAAATTTGTCCCCTCGACATTTTCGGGAGGGGCTGAAATAATTACGAATTAAATTTATAATCATTGTAATTAATTATTGTATTTAATTACTATTTATACATTTACTAAGAAATATTGAGCGTACTCGTGATAACTTCTTATTACGCATCAAGTTGAGATTCTCAACTAATTTAATTTAATAAACTTGCAAAGGTCACCAAGTTTGTGTCGTGAGGGGATTCGCAAAATATGAATCTGTGAATCTCTCAAACTTAATAAAAATTTATTTTGGTGGTGGTGGTGTTCCATGGATTTATGTAATTCCTCTTGCTTGTAATAGTCAGACGAGTTTGCGAAATGAGAACATGTCCAATTGCTGGGTAAATTTGCGAACAAAATCCCATAGTTTTCCAGCAAAGGTTTTGTGAAATCTGGCAAATTTCGCAAAACTTCGCAAGTTATGGTGCTACATATGCTCAATTTGCGAGATGTGGCGTGAGTACGCTCTTAAAAATAATGCTACCTTTATGAAAAGGAAATGCAGTCTGAATTTTAGGTTTAGTAAACTGTACAAAATTTCGAGCAATGTTACATATTTAGTTTGATAAAGAGCAAAGTTTACGCTGGATTTTGTACAGTTTACTAAATACTTATAAAATTGACACTGCATCAACCTACCTATGTACTTTTTAAATGGGGAAACATTATTTTTGAGAGTGTGTGCGCAAATCTGTTAAATAAGCAAACCTTCGTCTTCTCCCCGTAAGCAAATCGTTGACACCAAATCTGCCCCTTTTTTGCCACAGTTTCCACAAGGTCGTACAAACTTGCGGGTTGAAATTGAATTTTTGGTGGTGGAAATTTCACCAGTTTTTGTCCGCCAGACCAGCTGCACTTGGACTTTGGGGTCCGCGGAGTGATTGTGGGTGCCATTCTGCGTCTTAATTTCGGGATTGTTGGCACTTTTCGAGGTATGAAGTCGAACCGGACAGGAAAGATTGTTGCATCGAAAAATCTTCTCGGAAACGTCGTCTTTCTCAAGGTTGAAGGAATATGCACCCTTAAGAAGAACGGTGGGATTTTGGGAAGTCGGAAGAACGGGGACGATGACAGGATCAGTCATTTTTGAAAATTTGCGTAAAATCTGCGTAAATTTATCAAGAAGAAAATTATGTAATTTATATTCGCAACATGGACACGAATGCGATGTAAATTTAAGTTAATTTTAATTTGTCGTGAGGTAAATAAGGCAAATCTTACATGAGTTGGGGTTTCTGAAATTTTTTAAAGTAAAATTAATAAGTAAGTGTTTAATTCAAAAAATCGAATTTTTCAACTCACCGGCCACCCGTTTTCGCGAGGAGGTCACATTTATTTGTTCCTTTTTAAGGGAAACTGTCCACTGGGCAAGTCCATTAACTTGGTAGATTTACTAAATTAATTTTTAGTTAATATTAATAAGAAACTTAACCAATTTTGCCAAATATTATTTTTGTGTGAGTGTTAAAAAAATGAAAAATAGTGTGAATAAACAACGAATGGTAAAATTATCAGATATTTTTTTTTACCTGTTGGTATATTCATGTGCACGTTTTTAATCTTTAATCGAATTCGTTTTATTTATTGATTTAGTGCGTTTTATAGTTAATAATAATTAATTTTAGGTAAAAAAATATTTTATCGAGAACGAGCCTCGAGCAGCTGAGCGAAAAGGAGTTTTTCGCTCGCTCAGCTTTTTACGGCAGCCCTCGTTTTAAAGGGTGACTTGAAACAGGTGAATTCATGTGATGAGTTGATGATGTACAGCATACCGCCTAGCGCCTAGTTTCCTATCGCCTATCGCCTACCAGGTATGTCCTACCGCCTAAAATTTCTAACGCCTATGTCCTAATGTCTACCGCCTACTTCCTAACGCCTAAACGCCTACCGTCTACTTCCTAACGCCTAAAATGTTTACCGCCTAAAATTATTTTATTACATTTTTAAACGCTTTAGACTATTCTATTAGTGGGGCACTTTGAGATTTTTGCAAATTTAATATCATGGAAATTATATTTCTCCTTATAACGGTGGGGCACTGTGAGATTATTGGGGTAAAGTGTGTCATCGATTATCAAAATTATGCCCCATATTGGGATATTGTTCGTTTTTAAGCGAGCGAAGCGAGCAGGTTAGGTTAGATCTCCTAGGTACGCGGAAAGCGTGAAATCCTCAGCAATCATCTCCTAGGAGAGCTAGCTAGAAGTCCTAGCTAGGAGAGCTGGCTATACGTCCTAGCTAGGAGAGCTAGCTAGACATCCTAGCTAGATGTCCTAGCTAGGAGAGCTAGGTAGAAATCCTACCTAGGAGAGCTAGGTAGAAGTCCTAGCTAGGAGAGCTAGCTAGAAGTCCAAGCTAGGAGAGCTAGCTAGAAATCCTAGCTAGGAGAGCTAGCTAGAAATCCTAGCTAGGAGAGCTAGCTAGAAATCCTAGCTAGGAGAGCTAGCTAGAAATCCTAGCTAGGAGAGCTAGCTAGAAATCCTAGCTAGGAGAGCTAGGTAGAAGTCCTAGCTTGGAGAGCTGGCTATACGTCCTACCTAGAAGTCCTAGCTACGAGAGCTAGGTAGAAGTCAGTCCTAGCTAGGAGAGATTCAAAATCGACTATCAAAATTATGCCCCATATTGGGATAGTGTTGATATTTAAGCGAGCGAAGCGAGTAGATTAGTTTAGTTATACTAGTGCTACAGACCTTTAGGGTCTGGGTAATAAGGTTCACTTTGTAACACTGGTTTGTCTATTTAGTCGATTCATTTATTCAATTCTTTCACCAAATAGACTACTTTTAATCTAAACCTATCTAAAGCTAGTTTACAAGCTAAGCCTTAATTATCCGACTCAGTCGTCGCTGTTCTCTCCTCCTGATCTCCCGTACAATCTCTCTCTCCAACTGCCCGTGTTGCTCTTTTTATCCGGGTGGAAGTTGGCTAATAATATTATTTGCACACGACACCTCAGTGGTGTGTGTGGAGTTCGCAATTACGTCATTATTATGATGCGTAATTTCGGGTATTGTGACATTCCGCCTCCTTGGAGAACATTGACCCAATGTAAGCGGGTTCAAGGATGGTTGTATCTTATTTGGCAGTTAATCTTATTTCTTAACAACTAGTAAATTCGTAACCTAAAACTTATATCTATTAATCCTTAATTAATTAAATACTACTTATATTTCTATCCTAATTATTTCGTTTTCGTTTTTCGTTCGTAATTTCGGTTTTCGTTCATAATAACTTTATAATTAATTTCAAAAAATGGACTTACTTATTATGTGTTAAAAGTAATTTACAATTTTGATTTTTGATTAGATTTGTTTGTAAAGTTGATTTCTACATTTTGAGTTTTTAGTTCTCACTAATTTTATTATTGAAGTTATTTAAATAATTAAATAATTAAATAATTAATAATAACTATTATATTTTAATAAATTTATTTTATTATTTAATAATAATTTCTTAATATTAGATCTTACTAAATTTAATTTGAATAATTTTATGATTTATGTTGTATTTTTATTTTTATTATATCGAATTGGGTGTATTATTTCTAAATCTCTATGTATTTATATATTATATAAATTATTATATTATTCTAGCTGAAGTTTGAGTCCCATTTTGGCCTGATTTTGCTGTTTTCACATGGAGAGGGAGGTCGTGACGTGAAGGGTTCATGCGCTGACTTGTGACGTCGTGTATTATGTGTGACGACGTGTGACGCTCCGCCCGCTTGAAGCAGCAAATCGGCCCGAAGATGAGACCCAAGAGCTCCAGATCCCGCAGTTGGTTCAGCACATAAAGACAAAATTTTAGATTAGAGACAGTCATAACTCATTTACACCTTATATTTAGAGTTGCGTGTAGAGTGGACAAATTAAAAACGATCCGAGTTGACAACATAATTAAAAGATTCAGAATTATTTAAAACGATCCAAGGGACTTTTAACGAACAGTGATGTATCCGGCGAAGATATCCTTTGGATCTAATGATGGAGGCGTTTCCGGGGTGGAGATATGAAAAGTTTGAAACGCGCCTTCTATTCCTCGTGGATAAGATAATGATTGGGTTGACTTTCGTTGTTTACAGTATAATCCACAACACAGAAAAATAAGGAACAGAATCAAGGAAATCAAGATTATAATGGTGATTACAAAGAGCACCACATTATGTTGTATAATGGACAAGTTTTCAGCTTTTGCACCGGGAATAAACATGGCAAAAGCAAATAGTTGTTGTGATAATTTCTAGGTTTTGTAATAAAGAAAAATAGCGAAGAGGGATAAAAATCCCATCCAAACGGTAATAATGGCAGGATTGAATAAGTGGTGATAGTCCAAAACATATTGTTGAAACGAGTTAAAATCTCGGACCTCTGGTTGAGTAAGATTAAGAACAATGTCCTTTTCAAACCATTTTTCATTATAAATATCTGATAAATTTGAATATCCCTCGGTGAGGTATAATTTCTGATTATAATTATTAGCTTTGGTGAGTTCCGCGACATTTATCTTGCTCCATAATTAGATTAATAGAATTGAGGGAATAATTAGATTTAGTAGAGGGGTTTTGAAAGTGTGCATATCTGTTTGTCCACTAAGACAAGGAAAAGGTGGTACGACCGTTGGATGCTTGTCATTTAAATTTATGTAACAATTACAAGGGATTTCCACTATAATTACACCGTAGGGTGAGGTAGTATTGGGTTCAAGTAGTTCAAAATTCCGTAGGGTGGAGTTATTGTTGCAAATAATTTCTGCATTTAGAGGAGGTTGCGTAATGGCATAGCGATACAACGAATTGTGCCAACCTAATTTGGTAACCAGAACTTCAGCTGAGTTTGTTAATCTACAACTAAATGGGCAAGCTTGATGTAGCACATCAAAACGAGTACCCTGCGGAGCCAACAAGGCCTTGACGCACCCAGCATGACTTGTAGCTCGTGTTGCTAAGGAAAAGTACTGACAAATACCATCAGAAATTCTACAGTGGCTGGTGTCGGCCATACTGATGGGAAAAGGCATATCATTCTTAAGTATTACGAAGTCATGACTATGCTGCACAAAACATATTTGGGGTTCTCCCAAATCTGTTTTATGAAAAAAGGGAATACTAAAAATTTCGGTAATTTCCACCTGCTCATGTAATGGCTTAATAGGTATATTTAACTGAATCTCTATAATTGTTTGTTCTGGCTCAAACGAGCATCGTGTGAGTTCATAATGGTAATATGAGGATAGTCTTCCGTGAGGGATGACTAGCGTCATATTATTTTTGTTTAATGTGGTTCTTAGCGTTAATGGTTCCTGATTAAGGGTAACATAGTCTACGGCTTGTAGCGACAAACGACCAGTCATGCAGGCCGATTGGATACTCGCATACTGAAACAATTCTAAAGATCGATAAATATCTTCTGACATACGAGCCTGGAAAAGAAAACTCCGTAAAGCACCTTCTTGCATGCTTTTTTGCATGTCCTCTATCTTATTATTATTTTGTTTGATTCGGGTTCCCAAATATGACGAAATATTTAAGAACCCCGAACCTATCATGTGATTTTGATTGGTTATAGTATTAGCGAGCCGAATAGCATTTCGAGAATTTATGTCGATGCTATTCTGCAAGTGATCATATTGTTTTGAAAAGTCGGTGGCAGCAGACGGAGGGTCAACATAATTATACAGTTGGGCCCCTACCCATCCTACCGCCAAAGCTGCCAGAGCAGCCTGACGCTTGGTTCGAGTATTGTTAGTATTATGGAAATTCTCCCACATTATACTTCTTCCCTGACGTGAGAAACCCTCAGAATTTCGATTTCGAAATCTGGCAACCTCCTGGTCAAAGGGACTTAAAGTTGGTGGTGGTGGTAAAGCCGTGGTAGGAGGAGGAATATGGATTTGCATTTGATTGAGTGGGGGTCTAGTTTGCATGAGAGTTCGGCGAACCAACTCATCGTGCTCTATTTGAAAACGAGTACGGGGGTCAGAAGGATCTCCCTGAATCAAAGGTTTTGGGGTAGTAGTGGGTTTAGTCGTGATTAATTCTTTCTTAGTTTCCTGACTTAAATCTAAATCGTCAGTTAAAACCGGGTTAATTTGAACGGGATGATACTCAGGGTAACGTTTATTTTTGGAAATTACCATTGAAATTGTTTCCATGTGCGGAATAATTGGTTTGAGAGACGTTAAGGATTGGTACATTAAATTTAGGCGGTTAGTGACTGCTTTAAAATTTCCAGTTAAGTAAGGCCCCATCATGCAAATAGGGCTCAGCGAGCCCCGACCGAAATCCGGAGGACAGTGGTCTTTTAAATCTTGGATAAAGTAATTCTGTTGCGAAGTAAAATTGAATTGTACCTTAAAGAAAATTGAAGTTGTATCTTCACAGGTGATTACAG